GGGGGGGGGGGGAGAAATTTGGCCCGGCGTCAGAAAATTCACACGAACCGACGCGTCCCGTCACTTATGTTTCGTGTACATGATATCACGCGTTTTGCACAGATATTATGTATTGGAGGTTTATCGACGGTCGTTACGCGAAAAGTGTTGACGACATTATCAGAGCTCGGTTAGTGTTACTCCGCCGCATATACATTGTGCTACGGCGTTAAAGCGCGGACTGAAATTAAATCGTCTTAAAACCGAAACTCGTTCGCGTCGTGTAAACACTGTAAAACATACCCGGTTTAATAACATCTAAATCTCTTACGGAACTAAAACTCACACGCTATGACGTGTATAATAGACGGTTGAAATTAAAACGAACGCGTTGTCCACGTTTTCGCGGTCGCTCGTCAGTGTTTTTAATCTTACCGATAGTATCATTAAATTACCTATTAAGCTAAACCGAATTCTAATAAAAAAAAAAAAAAAAACAATTTAATTTTAACGACATCGCGTAAACGTTAGTTTTATAATGACGACTGATAATGACACTACGCAATAATATATGGCATAAAAGTGGTTACGATGAACGAAAAAAAAAAAAAAATTTTTTTTTATATACCAATACAATAATATGCGATTCAGCGAGAACGAAAGATGAATGAGAATAAGACGGTGGCATCAACATTTTACATAAATCGTAATAAAAAAAAAAAAATTATAATAGTGTTATAACATCGCGATTTTTTTTTTTTTGTTTACAGTTGTTTTCTTCTTCTCGTCCATCCCACTCGGATCGTCGTGACGGCGGCGGCGGCCGTTCACTGAAGCTGCATGGTGACCCATGTGATGAGCCTGGGGTGTATCAGGCCGCCGATCTCGCAGTTCACGGTCCGAGTCTCGCCGTTGACCACGAAAAGAGCCTGGTCGGCCGGCGTGACCATGTAGTGGCCGAAGATACCGGATGCTGCTATCGGGCGGTTGGGGTTACCCCATTGCGTCAACGACTCTACCATGGCCTTTCCTACGCCCGTGATCATTTCCACTTTGCCTGAAAAATCATATCAAAAACGGTTTTTATGAAAACAGGTAATCATATTATATAAAAGGTATGCGGAGAACACTAGTGAGTTTTATTATTTGAGACAGTGTCCCAAGAGGAGCGGTTAACGGGAAGTATTCGAGGCGGTTTTGTTTTTTTTTTTTTTTTTAATTTTTAATGTGCCTTACGTAGTAATATCACGAGAACAACAAATATTTACATAGCTTTAAATTCTTACGTTCGAGAACACCGATGGAAATTGATGGGTTATTCGTACCATTTATATCTACGGTCGGGTTCAGGTTCAGGTTAGGTTGTGTTCGACGGGTACCTTAGACCATGGAATAAGAAATATAGAACCGGAAAAGAGCACCGATAACGCGGCGAGAAAAACAAACGCTCAATCCGCGGATAGCGGCGGATCTATTATTTTACGACCCCCAGTGCCGTCTTGGTGGATATTTTTAGAACTAGACATTTCGCATCTTATCGCTAGTCTAAGAGAATCCGCTAAAACGGCGGCGCCGGGTGCAAATCGCGGGGACTCGCAAAGGAAAAAGTAACCAGCATAAATTGCCGTTTGGTTTTTGTACCAATACCCGTCCTGCCATTCGTTTACAGTCCTGTATATCTTAGTTCGAGGTTTAGATACTATATTAATATGATTGCGTTCCGATAAAGTTTAACCCGATAAGAAATCGTATACGTATCAAGTGTCTAAAGCCGTGAGCTGGCATTAGGTTCAGTCGTAGTTAAAACAAACCGGAACCAATATCACCGTTATTAAAACAAAAGGCACAGTAGTGTTTTTTGTGAACAAACTTTGCTATTAAGAATATAAAAGGGAAATGTTATTGAACCGTAGTGGGGCTAACGATGACGCATACAGGTCTGAGAGTGTTGGACGATGAATAAAAGAGGTGTAGTTGAAATTGTAGTATTAGTAATATTCGTGCCGAGTATACAGATATAGTATAGTACATAATTTATATAGTAATATTCAACGGTATTCGGATTGGACAAAACAAATCGAAAACTATTATCGTAATTAAAATAATAAATCTTCAATCGAAATTTGAAAATACTGCTTAAAAGGGACCCGACGGATTTAACGCGGCGATATTAAATTATGCGTTCGTTTGAAAATCGTCTTAAATGAAAATGCCACCACCCGCTGTACGGCTACCGTAAATTACAAGAACGACTGTAACGATAAAATGATTATGACATTTTTGATAAATATCATTTTTTTTTTTTTTTTTTTAGGAAATAAGGTGTTTTTGTAATTTTTTTGTTTTAAACAATTTATCGCATCATACATTTTTCGTCAATTATGTTTAAATAACCGTCAAATAGTCAATTATGTAAAATAAATTAAATATTATGTCTTTCAATATTTTTCTTGGAAAATAATGGATTTACGAGAAATGTTGGAAGAATATTTTAGATTATGAGTGAAACGAGGAATGTATTGGTTTTGTAACGATATTTAATTTTTTATTTTTATTTATCTGTAAACAATTTTTCCATCAGAAATCTTACTTCGATTTTCAAGTGTAGCTACTTTTTCTGAAAGGAAAGATTATCTGGGTGGTAACTTAACATAACCTAAAGAAGTCATATTGATTTTTCAAGCGGTTTTCATAATAATTGAGAAAAACAGGAAAATGTACGAAAAGTATTATTTCCAATTGTGTTTTGTGTTGTGATTCAGTTTAACATATTTTTAGAGAATTGAAATTTGGACAAAAAACTTATATTTGCCTTTTATATACGCGGTAAAATTTTGACATGCGAAGGAGGTAAGTCATCATCGACTTAACTTAATTGATATCCAGGAAACATATTATTTTATTATTATTAGCGTTTATTTCAAAGAATTATAGGCTCCACCGAGCATGCACGCGGGGGCGGGCCCATGAAGACTTATCTTACAATCGTGACATGTTAAAAAAGTATTTTTATTAGGCCTTCAGTTTGTTCAGTTTGTTGCGTAAGCCAATTTTGTAATTTTAATTTAATAATTTTGAGTTTTTCACCAAGTAGCTCTTGTGAAAGTTTATATTGTATATAAATGGTTCTACAATTAACGTGTGTGCCGATTGGTTGATAGTTTTATACATTCTGAGAATAATAATATTATTGATTTTATATATCGTGTTAAATGTGTGGTTTATTGTTTTCTTTAAGTTATTTTTGATCATAAATGTGACAGCTGTTTTGTAAAAAAAAGTTTTTATTTTACTGGTAAAACATTAAATTCCGAATATAGGTTAAGTGGACTTATAGTTTAAGTTACTTGTAGTATGTGACATAACTTAAAACGCAAAGACAAATGAAAACCACGACTTAACATATCCTACATGAAAAATAGAGATCTTTTCCCTACTTTTTTGATGTAAATAATTAATTTTATACAATTTGGTGACTCGACATCTTTATCAGGCGTACCTGTGAATTATAATACAATTATAACAACCTATCGTTATAATATTAAATATTGAACTTTGCGCAGCCATGCCAAAATCTCGTCGACAATATATTATTTTTTTTATGGCATCACTTTTGAAATATTGCCAAACCACGGCCATCATCGTCATTTTTTTTTCACACGAACCGCATGAATATAAAAGCTAATTTTCAAAGATATCAAATCGTCTATGGAAAACTCTTTGACCGCGACAGCGATTCATCACAATCTTTATAGAAACTACATTGTTAGGTATACCGTCAGCGGCTGACTGTAGATACTTTTTCATCGCGCGTTACCAGCCGGTACGGACCTAACCTGGCACGTGACTTTGAGGGTTAAAGCTTTTCCCCTCTGTTTTGCATAATATTTACGTACGAGAATGAATGGCTGTAAACTGTAAAATCTCGATCGCCCCCTCGTATAATAACATACATTATCTGCTGGCGGTGACCCGCTTATTTTTTCTTCTTCCGTTATCTAAACAGTCGTGTCTTTGGGTTACTTCTACGGTTTATCGTATACTTGTGTTCGAAGGAGATGCGTTAAAAATATAATTATACGTATTACTATATCCCCTCAGTTTCTGTTAGTATATTGTACAATATGAAATTGTGATCGTTGATACGGTTATTTATATATTTACAGAAGTTGTATCATAATATTATAGATCTATAAATTAGCGGATTACGCATATGATATCGAGTGAGACAGAACGTCAATATAATACATTTTCTATGTTACACAAAGTTTTTGATGGTAGCTAGAGACGTATTGACTGGTGGTATTTTTCTATTTCTATAACAGCCTTTGGGTTAGTAAAAATCATTAAAAGCTTTCACGCCGCGTACTTTAAATGATGTGACGGTTCTATCCGGTATTACTTTATTTTTCTGAAAAAAATACGCGAAAAGACACGATAACATTTTGAAATAAGATTTTTAAACTTTTATATTCACTCTTAAATTTCTGATTTTTTCTTGATTTCTGATTTCTTTTGTGATTACCGCTAAACCCAGTTAAAGCTCAAATGAGTTTTATTCAAAATTGCACGTTTTACATTCACAATTTGTGAATCGGTTTAGAAAATGTTATATATTTTTAGATTAAATAACTTACCATTGGACAAATTCAGGAAAAGTATGTCTTCCTTATTGGCAGCACTGGCGTACAAATCGTATCCATGTGTCGTTCTAGACGGATAGAATGCTATGTCACTTATCATCAGAGTGGTTTTGACGTCGAATGAAAATTTGAGTCCAGATTCTACAAAAATATGATTTTACACACGTGTAATATATAATTATTTGTTTTATTTTATTTCAACAATATATATTGGCCAAGATCCAAGACATAGAGGTACATCAATAGTGTAAATATTGCTGGAAACGTAAAAATGTTAACGAGAAATCGAGAACGATGGATTTACGTTGGCGGTGCACATGAGCCAGGTAATTGGGGATAGCTCAAGAAATAGCGTCTGAGAGTAGGGAATATGAAATAGGACAAATTGACGAATTAGGCGGAAAGGACTTTAAAGTTATAAGAGAAAGGAGACAAGTTGAATCAGTTTTATTTGAAAGGACGTTGGAAAGGAAAGAGAGATTTCTGCGATCTGTGAGACTGAGAAGATTAAAGACATTTCGGTTAGAAGAATACTCATGGGGAGAGTAGAGAATATTGAGTTAATATTGAGTGTATTACATCATATTATCATCGGAACATTAATACCGAACTTACCTAAAACTTGTTGGACCACTAAGGTCACTCCGTCGGGAGCTCGGTTGATGGACACGACAATTCGGCTGTCGGGCGAGACCAGCGGACTTCCTCTGACGGTGACCTTTTTGTTAATCACCGTATCTGTCAGGTAGTCCAGGATCACCTGGCCCGTTGGGCTACTGGTGCCAGGTTCTTCGCATTCAATGATGACAAAGCCGTCTGAAAAAAAAATAAAAAAACAAACCAGGATTGTAGGGTAGATCGTTGTAGAAACCGTGATCAAGGTTATAGGTACATACACAGGGAGGAGAATTGCAACGTCCGCGGCACGCAATTGTACGGAGAGAGATCTATGCTCCTTATGTATCGCATGTTGGCTAAGTCCAATTTGTAGAGTCCTCTTTGATTGGCGTGGCTTACGTAACCGTATTTGAACCAGTGGCTTAAGTCCTATATTATGCAACACAGAGTTAAACACTTTAATCGGCAAACATTTCGTTCTTTTTACGTACTTGCGCGATGGGCATAAACAAGTCTCTGACCAAATCAAATTGGCCGTCGATCGGTTCAGGGTGGACGGTATGGTGTTTTCTCTTTTGTGACGCGTCTCTGATAACCTGTATCGTTTTCACGCCATCGTCGTACACACTCCTCCAGTTCAACACCCACACTTGGTCCAAGTGTGGCACGTAATGCAAAGCTACCGGATATTTGTCCGTGATGACGACCTACGACCAAACATGTTAATATTTTCTATCGCGGACCCTCGCCGCATTACGAAACTGTGCACTCACGTCCACGACAACCATTTGAATCTTGCTGATGAGCAATATCCGGTCTTTGAGCGGCTGCGAGACATACACGTAGCGGTTGGCCACGTTGATGGCTTGGCCCCAACTGCAATTTACACCCTTGTCTCCACACACGTATTCCTACGATAACCAAAAAAAACCGAAACGGATTATAGGTTATAAATATTATCGGACGCGTATATTTTAATAATATCTATTTATAGTACTTGGGTTCCGGGTATAATGTCCGTAGACTGAATCTGGTGGTATAGTCGACAAGCGGTCGGCTCGTAAACGGACACTCCCCAATCGTGGAAAGCGAAAAACCGGCGTTCCTCTTTTGGAGCGGCTGCAGTGTCACGAAAACATACGGGAATATATTGAAGTTAGGTCAGGTGTTAGTTTGCCGGGGATACGGTTATTATTTACACTCACTAGGCGTCAAAACTTCTTGAACGATCAACGATGATATGTCCCTGGTGACTCCGCCCGTGTTCGAAGCTTGACACATGTACGCCCCGGTGTCCGCGTAATCGATATTGTCGATGCTAAGTTCGGTACCGTTGCCAACCACCTTGTACTTGTGTACCATGTCCAACTTTAAACGTTCTTCATTTTTCAACCATATCACCTGCAACGCGAACAAAAAATATCATTGTACAACAGAAACACTCTCGCCAAGCGTTCATAATATACTTACCTCGGGGAAAGGTTCTCCGATCACGTGACAGAACATGGCGGTCTTTTCACCGGGTCTTCGCGATTGGATTCTAGGCGTGACTTTTACTTCGGGCAGTGCTATATAAAACAATAGACGACATCGGTTAATTAGACAGGTCAGATGACTGCGGTCAAAATACTATATTATCATACTGTGAACAGTCAAGACGTGTGTCTGCGTGACTTCAGAGTTCCTCAGGGCTCGGCACGTGTAATTGCCAGCGTGCACTAATTGTATTTTGGTGAGGTACAGCGATCCGTCGCTGAATACCCGCACGTCTTCGTCACCCAAAGTCGTCAGATCGGCGGAGTACCGTTTCCAGACTATGGGAGGTGGTGGGTTGCCGCTGACGTCGCACCGGATTTCAACATTGTCACCTACTTTGGCAGATATCCGGTTCACTTCAAGCGCCTTTTCCAAAGTGACTACCGAAAGACCTTGAAAAAAACGAACGAAAAAAGGAAAGCTTAGAAAAATCTGGGCACGATGTTATTATATAGAACGGGCACGAACATCAAAGGAGCTCTATGCTTCGTGCAAAGATTTACACACACACAACGCAGGTAAATTAAATCTCTACGTCGCCGTAATTTGTAATGTAATGTGCTCGTTTATCGAATATACGAATATATAGGTACTCACTATACAATTTACTGAAAGCTGCATAGAATTCGTTGAGACCCAGACGGCCGTCTTTATCCATGTCCTCGAATCGAATCATGTCCGACATGACACAAACGTCTGATATATCGTCGAGTTTATCCTGTTTGGTTATCTGAAATTATTTTACGATATATATAAGAAATCCATTCAATTATAGAATATCGATATTCTCTTCTTCTATACTCGAACGTTTACAATTTCTTATTTTTATGATTTATACGCACGGCGACCGACGTAAACTTTGAAATATAATTCACGTTTTTGTCGCGAGAACTTAAAAAGTTTGTTTTGTTTTGAGTTTATTTTTGTTTTTATTTTTTTGATAAAAGGTAAAACTAACTCTATATGGAACACGGTGTCTAAAGTTTATTTTTATTATTGCGTACCTACTAAGTTGAGAATTTAAAATAATAATTATTTTATATAGGTACTTTAATACGGTCGCTAAATATAACTGTACCGTTGTTCGTTCATAAAAGCGTTACGAAATATTACCAATAGAGGGAAAAAATCGATTATTTTTACCGTTGTAAATTATATATAAGTGTATTATAACCTACGTCAATCGTACGGTAAAAAAATAAAAAATTCAATTATTTTAGGTTATATCCTCCTTAAGTACGACCCTCATAATCGACTTTAATAGCATTTTTAAATCCAAACTGTAATATAATCTATATGGTAACCATATTTATGGCATCTCGTTGCGCGTATGAATAATATATATTCGGAAAAAAAAAAAAATGCTTTTACGCATAGTTTTGATCAAAATTACACAAGAAATTTATTTGGTACCGTTCGTTTGTTAAAAACAAATAAAATAAAATACACACGAAGATGTATAGAATATCTTTACATTGTCATACCGGGAAACTCTATAGGTACCTGGGTATAATGCAATAATTTAATTTTTACGACGATTTTCGAAACTTTTAAATATAATATTAATTCATTAATATACGCGTAATATGATAAATATTGCACATTTTTCAATTTCCGCGGCACAACATTATGGTAAATAGGGATAAAGCAATTTTCAAAGAGAATACATTTTCGTATAATTTTCTATAACGGAAACGGATATTATACGAGGATAATATTTTGACTGTGATAAATTCGAAAAATAAACAAATAAGAAATATTCCGTTTAAAAGTAAAAAAAAAAAAAATAATATAATCCTTGGGTCTTAACTTTAAAAAAAAGTTGGACTCATTTTGCACAGAGAGTGTAGGCTGTTTTTGCACGTGGGCAGTTCGAAAAGTAGGACGTAATAATATTACTTAGTTTATATTATGTATGCAATGATAAATAATTGCAAACGAAAATCGATTCTGAGTGAAGTAGCACTAGACGTGTTTTTTCAATTGCAGTTGTCAAACGTAACGTTAAGAAATCAACTAAAATAAAGAAAGGACCTAGGAAGTAGACTGTTCATAATGTCGATAAATTGTTTCAAATCAAATATCACCGGCCGGAAATTTAGCATCTTTTGTGGTATGGCATGAAAAAAATCTGAGTATTTTTATTAACGCTAAATGTATTTTTCGGGAAAAAAAATTATTTCTGTAAAACTCTAATCGTTTTTTCGTTATATTGTGAATCTATAACAATGAAAAATGCCCTAATTTCCAGTATTTATGTTTAAATTGTTAGAAGTTTATTGTAATCTTGTTTGATAATTTGTCAACTCAATTTGGCCAACACGCTAAAATTCGTTTTTAAACATTTTAAACGAGTGGAAGTAAGATTGATATTAAAAAAAAAAAAAACAATCGATCATTTATTTCAAAAATCTCAATCGCGAATAATTAATGAAATTCGAGAACAACTTGCAGTAAAATGTATTTATATCTACTATACCTTTTTTAGCTCATCCTGTTGTAGAAATCCGTTGCCGTCCAGATCTAAATAACGGAACAACGCACTGACCATATACTCTTTGCCGCCGTTCCAGCTCTTTTGGTACATTAGTTTGGCGTGATTGATCAGCAACAAATTGTCCTATTAAGCATACAATGTAATAATTTTACCGCTTAATATAATAATATACTATATTGAATATTTCGCAAACGCGAGTCATCAAAGAACAATAAGGCATATATTTCTTATATTTCTTAGTATGTCTACACAACAAAAGAAATGTCCCCAAAATTGTTCCAACACCTAATAATTCATTTTGGCGTGAAAAGTATAAAAAAATAAAAACGGTTATAATTCACTCGAGCGTGAGCCCGATCCTCCTCCTCGTACTTGTACCGTCCAAACTAAATCCAATCTACAATGTTCACCGCGAAGACTATTAATTGCCGGGGTTCAGGATCAGGCACTGCACGGAGGACAAGGGGTCAGAAAAACGTACAAGTGAGTTAGAATTTCCGTTTCTTCACTTCTGGGGAGTTGGTCTGGAAAAGTAACACGATCTGGCATCTCATCTCATGGTGATTTGTATGGGTATTGTTAATATCGTTTTTCTACATTTCATAATAATTCTAGTCTAATCCATCCGTAAAATCTATTACGTCTTAACAATCCTACGCAAATACTTTGGGGAAGTCGATTACAAACATTAACTTTTCGATAATAAACCACACAGAGTACTGTGTATGTTAATTCGAATTAGACAAATCTCGTAACTAATATCAAATGTGAGATTTTCGGAAACCTTTTTAACTACGTTTTGGTGTAATTGTATAGATTTTATTCATTCGTCTCGCTTTTCCAGACCAAATGGATTTCTCATCAAATTCAGAGAGGCACGACTCGTTTGCGCACATTTACCTTTTTACGATTCGTTTCAGCAAATTTTTCTTTTCACTTTAATATAGGCTTAGGACTATTTATTTTCCTCAGGCGTGATTAAAAATGTGTTCGTGGGTTCGAGTATTCAAAAATATTACAAACTTGAATGTCCATAGACATTGATATTTTTGTAGTTACTAGTTACACTCTGTTCACATCTAGTTACTGGTGAAAAACTGATTGAAAACAAATTTAAACTTTCGAGTTTTGACCTATCTACAAGATTATATTTGATTTGTCGATTTTTGTATTTTGTCTTCTTAATAATATTTAATATTAAACATTACGATAGGGAAACGATTTATGTGTGTTGTACTTTGTGTACAGCGTATATTCCGGTGTAGAACTTCTAGTACAGGTAAAACATATTTTTAATGTACGCAAATGAGTCGTCGAGTTGCAAAATTTGTATCCAAGTATATAATTATAGTGAATCGGAAACGGATTTTAGTCCCATTAGGCACCGTACACACCAGTTTATTTGAATACAGTATCATAGTCTAATACCCAACCGAATTAATATTTTTCAAATTCGCTGACTCGAGATTGGCGAGTTGAAAAAAAAAATACTATAGACTCGGGCCAAAATGATGTTTGTATTATCTTTGTATCTTCCGGCAAAATATAAATTTGTAATCATTGTGTAATACTTTACCGACGACGACGAAATAAACCCCACCTTTATTATTGTGGCGGCGTTTTCGTTTCTTGTTGTTGTATTATATTATAATGTATAAGATTTTCGTCGTCGTTCCCAGAGCTTTTTGTAAACATAATTTATATGGTATACGAGGAGACCGCGACCGCGAGGAAAGAGAGGAACATCCCGGGAGCGCGATAAATCCTGACCGCGGGCATTAATTCCTGCGGCTGCTGCACCCTCTTTTAATTGAACACGAGAAACATTTATTACCGTTTTATGCGTTTTGCGGTGTATAAGAGCGGTAGAAAAAAAAAAATGGCGCGAGTTCTAGAAAAACCGTATATTATTATATTAGACAGTCGGCTATCGTCGGGGGTGGTCTCTCCGTAGCGGGAATCGCGTATAATATATTTAATTATTAAGGTTCTTCCCCTCCGCGGATAACTTTTATGTTTTATTTATATTAAAAAAAAAAAAAAACAAAAACCCGTTATTATTATTTGAAAATATGGCCGGGCATTTGTGTCATTCGCAAGAGGCCGGCGACTATCGGTAAAAACGACGTCCACAGTACAATAATTCGATACGAATGTACGGTTATAATACTCGTATGAGAACTGCCGCCGCCGCCGTTTCGCCTCCGATTTCCGATACTAAAAACCAATAACGTTACTGCGGTTTATGTACGTTCGAATACTAATTTCATTACGAAATATACCTATGTATTCGAATAATAATTTCGGTAACGAGATACGAAATTGCTCCAAATGTCGTTATGTTATTGTTGCGTGCGGACTGCATCTGCTACATCTGTTCATCATTCTCGGAATAATATACTTAATGCAATATAATATAAAGTAATACGGCGCGCACGGTCGGTATATAGGTACCCGTACACGTATATTACAATAATTTAATGTTATTATCTCTTGGCGGTAGCACGCTCCCCATAATATTATATAATTGGACGCGAAACGGCTCGTCGCCACACGAACAACTGAAGATCGCCACTATTGCATCTCTTGTGCGAGGTTTTTTTTTTTTTTTTCTAATCGCCCTTAAAAGACGGCCCGAAAACAGCGAAAAACGTGAGGTAAAAGTTTCAATTTTTCGGGTAATACTATGTCCGCTGTTACTGTACGAATCGAATTATGCGGTTGATATTCGCAATCGCTTAATTGTACACATTCAGTTTTTATAGTTTACCTTGTACAGAGGGTATCCCTCGAAAATACGATCGTTGCGATATCTCGGAAAGTATTAACTTTTTTTTTCGTAATCTGTCTTCTTAAAATTTAAAAAACAAATAGTTTTACAATATCACATTAACAACGTTTGTTGTTACCCCTGTTTTTGGAAGTAAACCGACTATCTACTTTTGATTTTCAAATGACGCCTATATTAAAATATAAACATAAAAGATAAAGAAGAAACACATGAATCAGATAAAATTTAAAAAAAAGTTGACTCAAGTCCTTCTTCCTCAGGACCAAAGATATTTATATAGAATATAAACATTGGGCTAGAGATCGGATTTATATGTTCTTAAAATCCACAAAAAACAGTTAAAAACGTCAAAAAGCTTCGAAAAAAAAAATCACTTAAAAAATATATAAAAACGCAAAAATAATAGAGGGGTTTAACAGCCCCACCTCTAAATTATAAATACAATTTTTTAACATCATACAAATTATTAATAGAAAATAATTTTTTTTTTTATAATCCGTACGCTTTTATTTGAAAAAAATTATTTTGTATGAATCAATTTTGTAGTGTTAGGAGATTTAATTTAATAAGTTAAGATTAAATAAGAGCCATTAGTGGGAGGGACTTTTAAAATTATCTATCGTTTTTGCTTTTAAATTTTTGTAAATGCTTTTTTCAGAGATTTTTCGATGTTTTAAAACACCTTTTTGTGGATTACTAGATAATATAAATCCGGTCTCAAGATATCACAATACAGTGCATAAGTCTTTATTTTCACGGAAAATTCGGAAAACGGCATTGAAAAATACTTCACATGCTACTGTTTTAGCGGGGTGAGAAATTGGGAAGATAGAAGGGGAATTGCTATCGAAAAACGATTCTGGGCGGAATTCAGTTACAAATGTTTTGAAAGGCCATAATATTTATGATTTGAGATTAATAAATTTCATAAATTGTCCCGTTTTTCCTACGGTTTTTCTAATTTGTTACGAAAACCCCTGAAAAAATCAAAAAATGACCTCCCTAAAATACCACCCCGGTCCGATTTCCTTGATAGTTTTACTTGTCCTATAAAGTAACAGAAAAAAAAAAAAAGGAAATACATTTTGCATAATATTTCGGATTTCTTATATTACAATTACTATATATTCCGTGAAAATACTTTAGTGGTTTACCCGCGGGAATCAGCGCACCTCTTTTCACAATAATCGTAGCCACTTTTATCGCTGCAACAATATACGAATAATTACGTTTTGCTTTCCTGTATTTCCGATCGGTATTAAAATATTGCTGCGATCGCGTCAGAGAAACGTATCCATATCGCACAGAATCCGCTCGACAAGATTTGAATATAGCGATAATATTATTATTATTATTATAATTTATATAGGATGCGGATATTTTTTTTGTTTATAGGTGCGGGTCGTTCCGTGGCGATTAAATTATGGAAATTCGAAAGGCGCGTGTATATCATTATACTATATTATAATATACTCGTTTATTTTTCAAATATAAATTGAAAACGTAAATTGCGAAAATATTCTACAGTTTTTTGTCATATAATTATGACGGTGGCACGGCAAAACACCCGCGGTGGGGGGGGGGAGGCTCAGACAGCCCGTGCAGTAGTAACAATAGGGCGGTTCTTGCGAGAAACTCGATAGGTATAAGAGACATTTTGACATTTTTCGGTTTGCAGTTGGTACGTAGATTCTACGTAGGGAATACGTTTAACAAGGTGTTTCAGAAGCAAACGCCAACTCTGCGGATTGTTCTCTTGTTTTCTATAGGTCGTTCTTAGAATAGATTTTTATTATTTTCCATACCAAAACCTCGGTACAAAATAAAAACAAAACTATGCCGTTGAACATTTTGTGAAATCCGCTAATAAAGTTCGAATTTTTCTAAAAATCGAGTCACGTCATACAGTGTGACATCCTATAGAGTTGGCCATTTGATTCTGAAACACTCTGTATAACACTGTCAGATAAATATTTGCCGCAACATAAACGTGACGAATCAATAGCTAATAATTATTATGCAAATGTAATAATTTATGTAACATACAATTATTATATTCGTATGGCAGGTACTAGCAATAGTATTGAAATGTCAAATATTAAATGTCAGAAAGCTGATAAGTGTTTTATAACCCATTAGTGTGAGCATATTCAGACTTCATCCACAAGTAATGCAATTAGGAATAAGGGTTTCAAAATATATTCAAATATAATATTGTGCTCCCTCACAAAAATATAATTTAAATACTACGCTAATATTTTATTCACGGTATATCATAGTGTAGACGTAGTAACATAGGAAAGTTATAGAATATACCTAGTAATAAGTTAACAGTATACGAGTATTATAATATTGATAGCAAATATAAAAATAATCTGGGAACAGTAGGAAAAAATCCACTTCACCACGCCTCTCACGAGTTTCGAAAGTTCTTTTTTTTTAAAAACAAAACATGCACGTGTTTCAATACTGATTTTGAAAATGAATGCATTTTTTTCCATAAACCATTATTAAAGAAGTTACGACCAAAAAACTAGAAAAGGCAAATATAAATTTTCTGTACAGATTTCAAGTCTCTACGAACTTTAACTGAATTATATTCAAAACAAAATTGAAAAATAATACATTTCGTAAATTTTTCCGTTTTTCCTATGTTTTTTCTGGGTTTTCCATATATAATGAAACCGCTTGGAAAATCGAAAATGATCTCACTGAAGTGCTTACTAGACAAACTTCCCGTTCAGAAAAACCGCTATAACTGATACATCGAAAAACATTTTCGGAAGAAAAGTTATTCACGGATAAAAAAAAAAAACATCATAAAACCAATACATTCTTTGATTCGCAGAATCTGAAACAAATCGAATATAAGCCCCGATTTTTAGGGGAAAATCAAATCTTCAACCAACTCGATTTATTTGCTTCGTGATTCTTCGCTTCATAAAAACACAAAATCGTTTTTACTGCTCAAAGTCCAGAAGCTGTTTGTCATAACTTGTTCTTTATTGATGGTTTTCGCAAAAAATATATTTTTTTTTTTTTAAATATAAGCGTAAAAAATACGTTTTAAAAAAAATAAAAATATTTAATACTAGTGAGGACCTTGATAAAGTATACTTGAGCCATAACCTGAGTTTAATTATACATAAGGAAAAAATGTAGGCCTCAATATTTATTGCGCACGACTGTAACTTATAATACGTATAATATAACATGTGACAAAAAAAAAAAAAAAAAAGGTAATACAAACGATTCATTTTTACGTTTAATTAGATTAAAATTAAAAATACATTTAGAAAAACGATTTGTTTTTTATTTATTCCGGAGAAACAATAAAAGGTTTTCAACGTTTTCAAAAAACTTCGAATTTTTCACTTCGCATAATATTATATTTTTTAACACTACGTTTCTCACAGAAACCGTCCAATTATCAAAAAATCGAGTAGTTGCAAATTTTAATATTATTATTTTTTTTTTTTCTTTTTCTCGTATACAGTGCATTTATTATATAGAAATTTACGGACCGGAGACAAAGAACCGCGTGAATACGGCGCTCACTCGCCGCCGTTTTGTACGCTCGACTTCCTGCGCCGGCGCAATAATCACTATTATATATATATAAGTACGTTAAACACAACTGACTATTATATATATAATACCGTATAATTATTTCGAAAACCACGATAAATCAATGCATTAGGTAAACGTTTCTGAATCGAGCCGGTCTTATGTTTACGTGTATACATAATATTATTATCGTTTGGCTTTAGACTGATTCGGTTTGTTCGTTTTCATTTTGCATGAAAAAAAAAAAAAAAAACCCCCAACACTGCTCACGGCCGATGTAGGTGGATAGTTGGGAAGCTAGGATACGCGGGGTAATTTAGTTTATACAATATAGGTTGTGTGCAACGGCAAACCGCTGTGAATAAAAAAAATAACGATTCTGAGCGGAGTATAGTGTACAAATACCTACACCTGTTATTTGAGTGGCGATTTTTTTCTCCCGTAATCAAGGAAACCCAGAAATCAACAAAAATAAAACCAACGACGACGACGATTACATTGATTTTATTGTTGTTTTACAAATTGTACATTAAAAAACTGCCGGGAATCTAAATATATTTTATGTATTTTGTAGGGTACAGTCGGTGAAAATCTATATAGACCGAATTCGTGTTTTCCAAGATACAATATCTTAGGGCCTACGAGTGAAGTGTTAAAAATGTTACAAATAAAATACCATCGGATGGAAAATCCGCTTCTTTCAAGGTATGCCTAATTCTTGAACAGATTGGAGCATTTTTACTAAACGAAAAAGTGTCTATGGAATAGTTTTTCTATACCACTCAGAACGTAATATGCAAAAATATATGCACGGACGATGATTTTAATTAAATAAACAATAATCTTCACTTTCCACTCTTAAGTGAGCTTTAAAAAAAAAAAAATACAATTTTAAAAAGCTGCCCTAGGAAAATGGGGATAGGTATAGTCACTGTTGTAGGTGAGAAGTTCGAAAGGGTGATATAGGAGGGAATTTAATGTATATCAGTACGAAACAATTAATCATTGCTAACGAAAAACGATTCTGAGCGAAGTTTGGTTATACGTGTTTTGAAAATTTACGATTTCCGTCAAAATATGGTATTCGCATTTTTATTAAAATTTCTACATCACACTCGATTTTAAACAGGTTTCGACCGATCGGGACATGTTAACACATAACCGCAACCACGGTGGAAATAATTAAATTTATATCTATACGATACGATAAATTCTTGCTAATGAAAACGGTTCTAAGCGTGGTTTAGTTAAATATATTTTAAAATTCACCGATATTTATAACAATTTTAAATTTAAATGTTAATAATTTAAATTTTTTTAATCAAATTTATATTTTAATGTGGTCCAGTTTTAGATTGATTTTTTCGTGTTAAAAATTGAAGCAAAAGGTTTTTATTAACACAAATAGATAATTTTAATAACATGTGAAATTTCATTATTTTTACCAAATTTATCCATGTTTAGAAAGGGTTTATAAAAATAGTGTACGAAAATTGCAGGTCTCTATGATTATATTGTTAAAAAACCGAAATTGAAAATAACAGACCCGTTATTGCTTAGTCTGAAGGGTTTGCATCAACTAGATTAAATATGCTTTTAGAAAAGACACTACACTTGAATATCGAAACAAGATTTTTGGTAGAAGAGTTATTAATAGACAGAATAAATAAATAAATTTGAAAAAACACATCATAATAAAACCAATACATTTCTCGTATCGTTTAGAATCTAAAATTATCTGAAAATAATTTCCGGGTATGAAAAAATTTTAAATCTATTATTCGATTAGCATAGAAAAAAACAGGTGACACTTTATTTTGCCGTTAAAAATTCGAAATTATCGCTAACACGGTACACAATTAATTAATTATAAATATAATTACATTTTTTTTTTTTTTAAAGAGGCCGACATTATCGGGAAAACGTAAAAACTGCATACATACTAAAATCGCGGTGAACTTATTTGCAAGTTTTAGTAGTTTATTTTAAATATAAAACATATAAGCCGTTTATTTTGCCGACCGCGGGCAAAGAAACGGGGTTTTCCTCGCGGAACGGTTAAAACAGCGTTTTTTGGTAGGTTTTTTGGTAATTAACTTTTCCAAAGTATACCTTCCGCGTGATCAATTTACAATCTATGTATACAGTACAGAGGGCGGTACGAAACTTTTAGGGTAACCCTTCAACCGAATAAAGCGTTTATTGGTGGCATGAAGAGGAGACGGGTGAATCGTAAAACCAACAGATAGTAAATAGAATAATTTAATACGAAAAAAGGTCTAATGAAAAACACGCGAGACAAAAAATATCGTGAACATTATACGAAATTACTAAATAACACTATGATAACAATATTATTGCAGTGTATATAGAATTCCGGATTACTAAGCACTTTTATTTGTAGCAAAGTTTCCAATTGCTGAATGTTGATAGCATACGAGGCGCCTAGAACACAACGGGTATAAGTGAAATTTTATTGGTCTCGAAAAAATCTAGTTTAAAGTTATTTGTATTCAATAAAATTATTATAATATATTATTATCATATCATCACTGTTCGTGTATTCGAATGATAAAAAAAAAGTTTTACACAATTGTCAGTGCAGAGACATACGTGTGTTAACAGCCGTCGCGGACGCTTTTACCTATTTACTTCTAATCTATTATGGCATTTTCATTTAAAGGTTTTTTAATAGGACCTAGTATTTGATACTATAGATTGCAGCACATGACGAATTCACTTATATTTCTTTACTACAAAATAAAATGGAAAATTTGTAGTTCAACTTTTTTTGAAAACATCACTTACACCCCTTTGTTTCCATAATATCTATGATTTCCATTATGTTTTTTAAATTTGTTTGTAAGTCCTCGGGACCAAAGTTATGATAATTACAATTCAAACATACTTGTCTAGAATTCTAGACTATTCAAATGTCTGTCTGCAGAGATCACTATTGTTTCTCATTTATCTGGACAAGTTAAAAGATAAAAATACACCTTTCTAGATAATTCGTCTAGACCGAACAAACCACCGATATATTAAACGATTATAATAAGTAAAATACGATACGCGTCGTCTTGTATTGGCCGTCGAAATAACTGCCGGAACTTTTAGTCCGGAATAGTTATCACTATCGTTATTAAACGTTCGCGTACTCGAGTCACACATTATCCCGTACACAACGACGACGGCAAGCGGACCGTTTTATACCCGTTTCGACGACAAATTCGTTTTGTATGTAATATATCCGAGTTATGTGGTTTCGTATACTTGCACGCGTATTATAATATATTATACTTTACGGGCGAACAGGCCATTTGCCAAAATAGTTCGTATATGGTCCGCGTTATGGCGCCAGCCAATATTTGTCCGGGTCGGGAAATCTCGCTTTGGGCTTTTCTCCCGTTTGCCCGGCTTGAACGTTAAAAATTCACCAGAAACCACACTCCCCTTTCTCCCACTCTAACCGGAGTCGACTCGGTTGTAACACACTCGGTAGAAAAATGTTGACACAAATAGCGAATTGATCTGGTTATAGTTGAAAACCAATGTAAAATATTTATAATATTAACTGTTAATGGTAAAAGGACCAATTGGTAAATCGAATATGAGGTGGGTAGACGGGTAGTCAAGAAAGACGCGGAAAAACTATTAAGAGGAGGTTTGGATTGGAAAACACGAGCATCTTATGGAGGTTAGAGGTTTGGACGTATGACGGGACGGCCATAGAAACCGCTTTTCTACCCTAACGAAGAAGATGATTACGAGGCGCGGGATATTTTGAAGGCCGGGATGCTTTTGAGAGGATTACACCTACCTTCATAATTTCATATTGCGGAGAACCGCACGTTTTCGACACTTTGGATTTGGTATCCGTTTCGATGGCGTTATCTTCGGTTTTCGGAATTTGCGCGACTCGTACGTTCTTGGCCTTGGACGCTGAAAATATCACCGTCAACGGATTATCAAAATATTATATAATAGCTATTCGCATATTTATAACGTTTATAGCTCTATAACGATTGATCGTATGCCGGAACAAATTTAAATCGCTTTATAAAATTATAACATCGCCGATTTTATAAACAGGTACTGTGGATAACGAAATGTGTCTGTTATAATTACATAACGTGTAACAAATCAATAGCATTCTTTTCATTGGGAGTATTTCTAAAACATTTCAGGTTGTGTGTGTAGATCAGAGATTCTCAAAATTTTTAATTTCACGCACCACTTATACGTATTGTAGATCTGTCACGTACCACGTACAACTAAAAATTGAGTAATTCATAATGGTTTTACATTTGTTTCAAAACGATACGAGTATAAGACAGTCAAATATAGTATCAGGTCTATTAAACAACACGTATACGAATATCCATTAATTTATTTTCTGTACCATAGTGTTTGCCTACCACGTACAACAGTTTGAGAACCGCTGGTGTAGAATAATGCAGGGGATAATGCAAATATCATTCGAAATTTCACCCTCGACCACCACGATACGAATTCTCTATCCACACGCCTAGGGTTGGCAAGTCCGTTCAGCCAGGTTGATTAGGTTCAATAATAATTACCTGTAGGTATGAGACATTTCATCGAATGGTCTATTTCTATATTGACACCGGTCAGACACCCGGCCTTATGCAGTTCGCATCTGTTGTCGTATAGCTGACCATCGGTACCGCACACCCTGCGCTTGGCCGGACCGCACTTACGCATGCACACGCAACGTGCTACGCCACCCAAAGCGACGCACTCCTCTCCCCTGCCGCAGTAATGAACTAGACATGGATCTGAAAACAGATTAATATTTTAAACTGCGAAGTATGAAATTCTATAATTTTATCATAATATTATAGTGCAGTGAAAACTGTATGAAATGGAACTCCGAGAGACCTAAGAAAACGTCAGCTCGTCGTAGCGGGGAGATTCCGTTATGTGCAAGTTTAAACACATTGCGTATTTCAATTTTGGAATCGTTCAAAGTGACTGATGTATACGGACGTTATACGTTTCGAGCATAACGGGGTTCACATGGTTTAATATTTTTACAAATATTTAGATTAGGTTATGCTATAGGTAATGTTACCAAGTTGAGATTTGTCGAACGTTAAAACGCAATGCGATTATTGGATTAACCGACTAATAATTTCGTTGCCAGCATTTGTATTTTATTATCTACCCCATAGAAATAGGCGCAACTAGGCCATCAAATTTGGGAGTGCTAAAATAATAGACACATCGTGGACCCATGGGGAGCAATGCTCCCATAATCCTTTTTACGTGACACTAATAGTAAGCAACTACGCGTTTAGTTTTAAATTCGCTACATAAAAAAGGATCATATCCTTTTCAACTTTATTTTTTCTACAGGTATACACATGTATTGTCTATAGACTACCTGTGTTTGTTCTGCTTATTAATTATGAATAACATGGATAAAATAATCGTTTGATATTATAAAAAAAAAAACATATTCGGTATTTCGGGCTGCTAATTTCAAACTTGAAAATACCCCCTATGACCCCTCTAGTTGCGCCTATGCTTATAGATAATAAATATATATGGATAGGGCATGATGGCTATTTATATCAAAAGTATAACGGGGTCGCAGACTTTCTTTTTGTAAAATAGAGAAAGAATATTATCTGTTGTTTTATCTCTCGTACATGGGATACTGCTAACTAATTTGATTGTATAACATTACCGTTCGATAAGCTCCAATAACCAATTTATATTATCTATAATCCGATTCTCTCAGTTCAGTCTATCAAAGTGATTAAAATTTGCCACCGCAAATTGTAAACTAAGGAATGTGCTTGTATTTCAATTACAGTCTATAATGTGTTGATAGTCTGAGTCATTTTTCAAAAAAATTAATGGTAGCTTACTGTGCGTCAAATATTTGAAAACATATTTCACCGTACAAGAGTCGAGTTACGAGTAAAAACAACGACAAACTCGCCTACCATGGCTGGTATTGGCACGCACAAACGCGACAAATAAATTCGTATTAAATCGGTCGGAAAAATTATGTTTCGCTATTTCGTATTAAAATACATTGGAATAGGTTAAATCGTATAAGAATGGATTTTTTTTTTTCAATTTAAGTTACAATGGTGGAACATGAATAATTTATACGGTAAAAAAAAAAAAAACCTTATATTATATAAAAAATAAATTTACATAAATTACTGCAGGGAGGTTGCATTATATTAATTAACACGAACCAATTGAATTGATCTTAATAAAACCGAATTAATTGAATTCTGCATATAAAATAACAACAATAATCATTTATATAAGTACGCAGGTATTATATCGTACAGAAACGTAACGAAAGTTTAAATTATTTTAAAACTCTAGTCGAACTAATTCGTTTACATGTTTCATATTCATTATAGTTATTATTATGCCGTTTGGTCACAAGGTTTTTCTTACCATGCGAAAATATAGTTTTAACACGGAAACTTAGAAATGTACCTACCACTTAATATACTGTGCGTAATAATTTTTTTTTTTTAAATCTCTGTATTTTACGTCCGTGAAATTTATTCCCCGATGAATATTTTAATAATATTATATCTATTGCGGCATTCTTCGGTCCGACTAATAATATTTTATCTTCAGTCGATTTTCGAGTATAGGAAAATGCCATCAAAACATAGTTTTGTGCTAACAAAAAAGTGTCTGTAGTTTTGTGCTTTTGGTAAAACTTTCGTCTTTGGGTACTGATTAACATACGAATCGCCTGGCCAATCAAACACCCATATGTTTCATTCGTCTAATGTACTCAGTCCGAGGAAAAAAATGAAAATGTTTGCTTTTTCTTCATCAAAAACTATCGATTTTACTGAAAATTTATTTCATACAATTTTGTTTGGAATTTAAATTTACACAAAACATATTATACTCAAATTCCTTGTGAAATCGATAGTTTCCTAAACAAAAGCGAGATATGATGGGTAGTTGCACAACATTTTGCAGAGTTATGAACATACGAAGTATACAATTTAAAAAACAAAATTACTAACTTAAAATAGATGTTATTTGTTTATGTTTGTTTCGAAAAAATAAATTTGTGGACTTTTTCAAAAAATGCCGAACTGACGTATAAAATGTACAATGTATTTCAGTATTCTAAATGTCTAACCTTGAAAAACACAAATCATTATATTGGCATGCATTATGATTTATATACGAAAAACCTTACAAATTAGCTTATAAGTACATTATTTCGTATATCTCATTATAATAAATACAGAGTGATTCACTATGCGTGCTCACACTGTATATTCAGATGCAATACCGTGGGAAGGCGCTAATTATAAAAAACAAAAAAAATTGCCCAACTTAACTTAACCTATCGGATTATTGTTGCTGGAGACCCGACAGGGAGGTTTTCTTTTTTAAACGGCAGTGGCGTAGGTATTATAAACGACAATATTTCACGACGGAAAAACTTACAAAATACTCGTTTATATATACACGCGCGTTTATCAGATGAGTTTATATTATTATTTATTATAATTTTTTCGGTGTCGCCCCCGGAACGTGACCCACGGAGACGGCGGCGTTATCGTTTCCAGGGATAATGTATTATTATGTTTATCGTCTGATAATAATAATACAAAGTAACGCCACCGTCGCGCGTCGGTCGGGAGACATTTAATTTTCAGATAATGATCCCGTTTTCGAAATGGATATAATAATAATAATAATAATAATAATAATAATGATATGGCGAACGGGCGGATCGCAACAATAATACCGTTTCCCAAATAATATTATCAAATATTAAATTCCACGCGTTCTCGCATCGAGCAGAACGATTATATAATTTCATCGTTTATTATTCTCCGGTGGCCGCACAAGAGTTAAAAAAAAAAAAAAATGCAACGGAATACGATAATTAAAGACTTCAAATTTTATAATGAACCTATCACCTTCTGTGAAAACATCTCGCTGACCACAAAGACGCTTTTGACAAAATCATCGAAAATTGAACAATGTCAAATAAAAGTTTCACTCTTGAAATAGATATAGGCAAAATGTACGATATAATATATTATTATATATGTATGGTGCGGTAAATTTAGTGAAAGCGAACAGCAGTGTGTCATTCACACATTAATTAAAGGAATTGTCAACTTTCTGTTTAAAAATAGTTAAAAATTAGCTAGACAATAATATGTATAAATACCTAATAATATTTAAATAAGTCTACGAGGTGTGACAGAACACTAACGAGACTTTCTATACATAAGCTAAACAATTAACGTTATCACTTAAGCGATTACTAAATATGATTAGGAAACACTTATCAAAGAGTATTATTAGTATTTATGAAAACGGCCTATTTTTTTTTATATTCATTAGCCTTGTTATTTTATTAGTGGGTGTTCTACTATTTTGCTGGAATTATTTAGATTTCGCGAATTGTTAACGTTACATTTTTTGTTAAAATTAAAAAAAAAAAAGTACCGTGGAACCATTTCTAATGTTAAACGAAATTTATGGTGAAGAATACTTTTCATAAGCTCGTGTTTTTGAATGGCATAAAAAATTTTGTAACGGAAGAGACATCGTCGAAGACGGCCATTGTTTTAAGCGTCCTACCACGTCTTCAACAAAGGTAACCGTTGAAAAAACGACACAATTATTCAGTAAGATCGTCGATTAACTGTTAGAGCTGTAGTAGAGACGGTTAATATTGATAGAAAAAGTGTTCGTAGAATTTCAGTTGAACATTTAAGTATGAACAAATCGCGTGCAAAAATGGTCCCTAAAAATGTAACTTTGAATCAACGTTTTTTGACTGAAATAAATATGTCCGTACTACAATGCCCCCCTAATTGATAGACCTTGCGCCTTGAGACTACTTCCATTTCCAAAAATTAAAAGTTCATTAAAAGAACTATTTTCAAACGGTTGATGATGTTAAAATGAAAACGTCAGGACTTCTAAAAGGGTTTACTAAAAGTGATTGGCAGCACTGCTTTCATGAATGGCAGCGATGTATGGAACAGTATGTAGTTGCTGAGAGAAACTACTTTGAAAGGTGATAATCATTAAATTATACAATTTTTAAATTAAGTACTTTTATTCAAAAAATCTCGTTACTTTTCTGTCACACCTCGAGGGTATGTTCGTATATTTTCGTTCATCAAATGCATCTTTTGATTTTACAGAAACTTAAATGATCCATAGCTTTAACTGTTCACAGTCGAGTAATTGTTCATGCTTATAGGTATTCGTAATGCAGATTTAACGAAGTATTTGGGTGTTACGTTTGATGGGAAATTTAAATTGGCAAGTCATATACGGTATATTATTATACGCGTTTAAAAACTTTAAGTAATTTAAATTGTATACAAGTTAACTATATAGATATTACTAGATTTAAAATAAAATCAATGATAGTTACCTGTTTGTATACATTAGATTTAAATAACTAAAATTTATCGTAGTATTCGTTTTTTGCTTAATTTAATTAGTAATGTATAATTTATACTTTGTCTATTATAAGTTTATTTTAATACCTTAAAACTGTCGACTTTTTGAACTCGATCACCCCGACCACAAGTTTTGCTTTTTGGGAGGGTTGTAATTTTCTTATACTTGTATGTTATTTTGAAAATGAATTTATTTTATTTAATGTTTATTGTACATTTAATCCAAATCGTATACGTTTTAATGACGTAATATATTATTATTATTGTTATTGTCATTATTTATGTTTATTCGATATCTATGATCATCCAGTCATATAACCAATCTTCCTTACAGATATACATTAAATTCCCGCGTATATCCTATCTTCCCAACTTCCCACCTACACCAGTGGCTGCACCTCTTTCCATTATCTTACCTTTCTTTTTATTATCATTATTATTATAATTATAATTATTTGTATTATTCTTATGCTTATTATGCTTATTATTGCTATTTTCTGGCAGGAAAGTTATCCGTAGGAAAAAATAAAGACCATAATATTTCACTAATAAATTTCGTTTATTTTCCTCCATTTTTTTCTGGTTTTCCAATTCATTGAGAAAACTTCCGGAAAAATTTTCTTTTCAGAAAAGGTGCTACACGTATAAATCGGAGTAAGATTTCTGAAAACGCACAAATAAAATAATAATAATAAAACAAAAAGCCAATAATAAACTTCTTTGTAAAACCGTAAGTTTCTTCGCTCGATTTAGAATCTAAAACATCAATAGACTCTAATCTAATAGATATCGAGGAATTTTACATATTTTACCTGTGCGTTCCGGTCCAATACAAAATGCGCAGCGAGATGATATTATTATATGTATTCGATTTAGTTTAGTTTAAACATATCCGGATAATTCGTTTTACTCATAATAATGCTGTATACACACTTGTACTTATTTTCGGGGAGGTTTTCGATGGTTTCAGCGTTGATTTATTCACAGCAGTTATAATACGGCCGCGATCGGTTAATAACTTAACCGAATCGTACCCTCATGCACACAGCACGAAATCCGCACGAATCGGTAGGTATAATAATATAATATGCGCATTAGACCACCGACGCCGCCGCCGGATTTATCGGATCGCGTTAAATCGGTAATAAATATCCATTAAAAAAATACAAAACAAAAAACGCATCTCTGCTGTAGAGCCCTCGTCGTTGGCCCCGTCTCTATAACGTCATTAACGGAGGGTAAAAAAAAGAGCATTTAAAAATCGGGAGAATGGTCATCAAATTAATTAATATTATTGGCCTTTATATATTTTTTATACGGTTTTGTATCTTCGAAATATATCCGCCGTATAAAAATAATAATAATATGACAATGCGTTCAATAAGTCCTAATTATTATCAGACAAAAAAAAAAAAACCCCCGGAGAGAGAAAAAAAACCGAAGGGTTTCAGCGTTCTGCCCTTCGTATTATTATTATTATTGGACGCACAATACAAAACCGATAGTTAATAATATTATTATCGTATTTATTATAATTTTTTTTTTTATTCTCCCCGCAGCTCGACGACACTCTTGATTTTTTTTGTCCGAGCGGGCAAATCGAATATATCGCTAATGTATGTAAAGCTTTTTAGAGACCATTTAGCCATTTGGGCAACGGAAAACATATAATCAGACATGAAAACTCGTTGAAATTAATTACAGAAAGGTCCGTTAAAGGAAAAAATCGCGTAGGAAAACCAAGCATAAAATATGATACACAGAAATTAATGAAATATTGAGGTTGTAAATCGTATTTAAAATTAAAGAGAAAAGAGCCGGACGACAGAAATGAGTAGAGCTAATCTGCGAATCAATCTGAGAATTGAATTGTTTTCAAATGAAGAAGAATCTGCGGTCGCACCCACTTCTGTCTCTCCATTTTCTCGGCTGTCTCTTCGTCGTCCACTGTAACTGGCAATCTTAAATCTTTTCTGATTTTGGCCAATAATGTTGTGTCTATTGAACGTCTTCTTAGCAGTTTGATATCTCGCGACTGCTATTAGTCCAAGTAATCATTCCGATCTCCACGCATGTTATGTTCGGCCCGCAGCTTAGTGTGCCATAGTGATTTTCAAGACCATTGTTGTTTGCGATCCTCTATTTTGTTCTTCCATTTGCTTCATTTTTTTCTTATCGTCTCGTCAATTTTCTTCGGTCCGAGTAAATTTTTAATATTTTTCTTTCCAAAACTCCTAACTTTTTTTCCGTCAGAATCCATTTTTGTTCAAATACTTTACATGCATATTACACTGTTGGCCTAATAACTAATGCTTAATGCATAGTAATTTTTGTCAAAGAGATTATAAAACAGTTTTCGAATGTTATTCGCCAAGAGCTGATTGTGATATTATCTGATCACCATTAAATCTCGATAGTTAAGTATTGAATGGAGGTCCGGTTAACTGCAAGTTGCACGGTAATCAAAGACCGACGGACTTTAATCAATACGGTTATAGACCTGTAATTTTTTTCTTTAGAAAAACCAAAAAATCTCGGAGAAAGATTTCGAATACAGTCCCGCTGAGCGAGTAGTCCGCGTCGTTTAGGGAAACGTTTTATCGGCGTACTTTTGTTAACCGAAAGAATCGATTTCCGAAGGGGGAAAAATCGCTTGTCTTGTCGTCTTATAGTAATGTTACGTGATATAGTTACGCCCCGAATCTGAAAATTAATAATAAATAATCGGTTTGTTCGCGCATTTGTTGATTTGCCGTAGTAATCGTGTTTATACTCGTGTGCGTCACCACTAACCAGGTTTATCGACCATAGTTTGTGTGAGTCATCGCAATATTATTATCATACGTATCGTATATTGGGTTTATTATTATTATTTCGGCAAATACTTTTTCTTTTCCGTTTAAAGATAGTAGAATTATAATATCATACCGCAATATCGCGGAGTCCCTCGATACGACACGAGGTCTTATTTTATCGGCGTTGAACAGCCCCCTTTATGTGCACACGCGCACGTATACAGCATAGACGGGTATTAATGTATTATATTTATACGCGATAAATCGTATAGGGTGCCACGAATGAAATGGGAATTTCACGACGAAACGCCGCGAGTAAAAACATCGTCGAAAACACCACGCACGGAATTATGTTTTACAAATATTTAATGGACATTTGCGCGCAACCTGACAGATGAGACACGCATTTGGGGGAAAAAAAAAAACAGTCGAGTGAGCTGGAAAACCGTTTCAAGTGCGTAGCACTTTTTCAGAAATCAAACTGTACCTTGGGCTAAGATTAGTTATGATTATATGATTTGGGAAAGCCGTTTTTTGATTTACATAATCGAGAAAACACGCAGGAAAAACGGAAGAGTGTAAAGCAATAATGATTTTTTGGTTACTTTAATTTTACGCACTTATATTATCCGAAGTACCTGAATTCGGATAGACGACTATCATCGCATTCCTGTAGTACAGTAACCGCGATTTTCGCAGCGTTATGTAATGTTTTTTTTTTTTTTTTATAAATTTACGACATTTCGTTATGTTATCTTTTCTATATATACGGACGGTATATTTTTTATGCACCCGCCGTTAAGTATCGTTTTTAACGATCGTTGTTAGGCTGGGCCGGAAAATTTTCTTTTTTAAATTTTTTCTCTACCACGTCTAAATATAAACTCTATCCACTCCTCGCAAAACACGGACATGTATTATTGTGCCGAGTGGACCACGGTAGCGCGATTATACCTAGCTAATAATAATAATAATACTCTGGCTCTGCTCTATATGTCCGCGCGACCATCGGCGATTTTCCGAAGGGAAAAACAACCGTTCGAACGGGTCGAATATATTATTATAACACTCGTGTATGTATACACAGAAATAAAAGAATAATAATAACGACTATCGGTCGTGAATTAAACGCTGTTTGTGCACGTCTCCGAAATTCGCATCGAAAAACGAAGAGGCGTCGTTTCGGAGGGCGGCTTCGGGCTCTATGAGGTTTCCTTTCTTTTCTCTCACTCTCACACTCACTCTCTCTCTCTCTCTCTCTCTCTCTTTCTCTCTCTTTTTATCTCGAGTCGTTTATCAAACCGAAAGGAGCCCCCTTTTGTATTATAGCACTTATCTGGCCGTATTTCTTGCTTGAATTAATTCACGCCGCCGCCGAGCGATATAAACCGTGTACACTGTATATATATAATAATACACGCGGGTAGTAGGTAGGAAAGAGATAAAAACGGAATAATATATAAACGCAACAACAGTTTTTTTTTCTCGTGCCGTCCCTGCCGCAGCCGTTCTATTTTAGGGCTTATAATATATTATTATATCCCAGAGAGAGAGAGAGAGAGAGAGAGAGAGAGAGAGAGAGACGAACGAGTCGGGCAACAGCACAGGCGACAACCGTGTAAAATTACGCGTCCGTCCGGAGGAGGAGCACTACGCATTATTCTACCGATTCCTATATATTTTTAGACGCGTGTTATAAGACGAGCACGTATAGCATCAGCCGTCTATGCCGTTTAAACGCGCGGTAATAATATTAACGAACCCCTCTACGCGCCCGAGTACGAGAGGAGTACAGATATTTTTTTTATGTAGTTGTCGTTTCCCCGCATTTCTGATTTATCTTATTCGAGCGCGCTGGCGCTCTTCTTTTCAAAAACCGAAGGCAAGGCTTTTCAATTTTTTTTTCGCGTTATTTAATTGGGTTCTTTAACGGGCGTTTAATACGATCTGAGCGATATATATATATATATACACATATTATACGCGGTGATCAATCCTCGATAAAAGACATCGACGTCCTCGTACATAATAAGCCACGTGTAAACCAGTATAAAATGAAAAATGTAGGGGAGGAGACCTATTCTGAAGTGTATTTTTATATAATCTTTTGTACCTTCAAAGTGGGCGACCTGCGGATAAACAGACGAATTTTCGGCACACGCTGTTATCATGGGTGTTTGGCGGAAATTTGAGATGTTAGGATGCGTAGAGTTATTTAATTTATTTACGACGATAAACCATTGCTAACGAATAACGAATCAAAGCGAAGTTTGTTTACACACTATTTGAAAGCATGTAATCTTTATGATTTGTACCAAGGAAAATGAACTTCCTGTTAATTTTTCAAGCATTTCTGTTTCGTCAAATAATTATATCGCCTACCAAATAAAAACTACGTATACAAGTTGTGAACATAAAATGCCTAAAAAAAGTTCAAAAATCGCTAAAATACTTTGAAAATTAAACCGTATCTAGAAAAGACAAATAAAAGCTATCTGTGAAACTTCAAATTCTACAAATATTTTTAACTGAATCACAACAAAAAATATGTTTTAAATATCGCATATTGATGATTTGAAAGTACAAGCGTTAAGTAGGTAAAAGAAAATCAATAAATAAAAAAAAAAAAATTAAAAATTATTAATTTTGCTGAAATATTGATAAAACGTAAAAATATTATTCTTTTCCGAAGGCTGCGGATTATTTCAATATATATGTAGAAACTCGAACCTGAATATTGAGTTTTCAAGGGATATATAGAACAAACAATATTGAAAAAAAAAAAAAAAAAACTGGGACTTTTTGCCACGTAAATTTACTATATAGACCACTGTGTGACGGGACAGCTATAGTATTATAATATAATGTACGGTATAATATTAAAACGTAAGTGTAGTCGTAGGTATACGTGTATGATTTTACATTGACTTCTAGTAGTCATGACTACTGCCGGAGTATTGACTGACACGGCGCGACTAGACGACGACGACATAATATTATATTTTACACGCGGCGTAAAGTTATTATGCGACTCGGTCAACTGCAAATTGTATTACGACTATAATAATACAGCCACAATATTATAGTAGTCGTAATTCTCGGTCGCCCGGTGTTCCTCGTTATTACGGGACATAAACATCGACTCGAAAAAAACCGCCGTACCATGAGAATCATACGTACGGTGACGGCAAATTAGAAATCCCGAAATGCATACCTTTGGTACTACAATAACGCCGTGTGTACAGGAAATATCGTCCCCTAGGAGGCAATACTGAAAAGAAATTTCGCCTGTCAAAGCGGGCTTTTCGTGATAAAACATCCGCGTTGTTGTTATTAGACGATAACGTTTTTGGCGTTTCACAATAATAATTATTTTCGAAAATGTTCGACCCGTGTCATTATCGAAGGCACAAATAACAGGGATAGGTCCAATAATGCGACGTACCGTTAAATTTGAGTATTCGTCCTACCGTGAGAATTTTGTTTAATGCGTCATACTATACGCAATTATTTAATCTAGTAATACGGTGTTCTGCAATAAAATGCACGCACGTGTGGATACATTAGTGTGCATAATATAGAAATCGAATATAGTATATAATTCAATAATAAAATTGCAGGGAGGAAAAACGTGCGGGAAACTCGCTTATTCTCACAAAGAATGAATAAATTTGTTACTTGTTTGTTGAAAAACAATTCTATGGCGTGTATGAACGAAAAACAGGTATTTTTTTTTAGAATTTTCGTTACAACTGTACATTTTTTTTAAATAATAATTTCAAAAAAAAAAAAAACCAGTAGTGACGTATGTCACCTCGTATAAAATATGTTTTTTCACTATTTGTTTCATGATACGAGTAATTTAACTCTAAAACCGCTTTTATATAAAAGTTTTTTTATGGCGGTTTATATAGAAAATCAAATCGACTCCACTTAGCACGCGTCCGGTTCGTTTGAAGTATTTTACTGTAACATATTATATGATTTATTTAAAACGAGACAATTGTGTTATAAGTATATGCAAATTCACGACTATTATGATATACCTCGAATTCTCGACGAAAATTCGCGCTTAATTCATACTTGCAATCGTTTTTTTTTGTCATAGCCAAAAGAGGTCAGACATGTTTTTTTAACGGCATCGGGCCAAATGTAAACGAGATAACACCACTTCAATATTTTAATAATTTCACGGACATTTTTTTTAACTAAAAAAAACTTTTAACCAGACAAATTCTATTTCGGTTACGTTTTTGTCCGTATACATTGAAATACAATTCAGTTCTATTATTTTTGTAAGCATAGAAAAAAAAAAACAAAATAAAAATGCTCGTGCGGGCTCAACACCCGTGACTGATGCACTGTATGCATTATCGCGTAAGTGGATTAAACATTTCGTTAATATGTATAGCGCGTATCGGCTGTGTAAATAAAACACATTTTATTGAGGGAGAAAAAGTTTTTTTTTATTTTTAAATTTAGCTAACACCAATTTCCATTCACATTTGCTACCGATACTACGAAACATAAAATGTGAAACATATAAGCGGGTTTAACAATTTACTATAATATTTATGTTTATGTTTATGAAAACGAGAAATGACCGTGGATGAGGAAATTTAACAAAGACTCAAGAACTAAAGGAAGTGATGGAAATGACATAATGTTATCAGCTTCATGAGGGAACAGAAGATTTAACGGATGTGGATGATGCAGAAATTCAGTGGCGGAGTCAGAACTTTTAAATCGGGTTGGTCAAGCTGAAGCCCACATTTTTTGAGGAAAGCCAACATTTTTCTTGATACCTATGTATCAATCGGTGGAGATTATTATTGAAAAAAAATTAGTAATAATAATATTCTACCAATTTTCATGTTTTTCCTGGTTTTCCCATGTTTTGCTCGGTTTTTCACATATTATAAGAAAACTTGAAAAAATCAAAAAACCTCTTTTAAGTACCACCCCAAAAAAATTTCCTTTCAGAAAAGGATCTACATCGTATGCATCGGAGTAAGTTTTCTTGTAGAAAAAGTGTTTACATAAAAAAAAAAAAAAATAAACACCTTTATAAAACCAATACATTCTTCGCTACTCTCAGGATCTAAAATATACAGTAACTATGATCTCTACATTTCTTTGTATTTCTACGCATTTGTTTTTTCTATGTGTGACCTATGATATGTAATGTAAAACAGAATTACTTTGTAATCATACAGGGTGGGCCAGCCGGGATCCAGGATGATTTGAGGTCTGGCCGCGGCCCACCTTGGCCCACCCCCGGCGCCGTTACTATGCAGAATAGTGGAAATAATATAAGGAGAACAATCGTGAATTGGAAACCAATGGGAAAAAAACTTTGAGGTCGGTTCATAAAAAGATAGCTGGATATTGTCGAAAATAATCTCGATCGGTTTGGATTCAGTGCGAATGAATATATGTCGAGGGAGATTTTAATGACCGGAAAACACTTAGAGAGTATACCATTATATACAGACATATAGTTGCATTTTAGTCAATCGACGTCCATATCATCGACGCCTATCACGGGTCTTTTATTCTTAAAAGCCACCACTGATTGAAATATACAGTATTACAAAAACAATTATTATAGGGCTGTGAATTTAACACAGACAAAAAAATTCCAAAACTCGATGAAAAGTTTGGAACGGTAGATGGGAAATTAAATGTACTCGTATATTTTTGCACATCGATTAACAATCGCTAACGAAAAAAACGATTCTGAGAGGAGTTTGGTTAAAAACGCTGCTTTGTCAAAAATATATTTGTCACACTATCGTCAAATTATAACATGCATTATGTATTTTCTTTAATAATATTTGTTTAATATTGTATCTATTTTCTTGTTTTTTTTTCACGTTTTTATCATGTTTTTCCCATTTATTGGAAAAACTCATAGGAAAATCAAAAAATGACCTCTCTAAAGTACCACACAAGTTAGATTTTCTTTCAGAAAAAGTGCAATCGTTGTAAATTGGAACAAGTTTTCTGGTAGAAAAGTTGCGTACAGATAAAAGATCAAATCTTCCTCTTAACTTTTGTATTTACCAAAAATAACTCTTTTCGGCACCAGTGAGAGTGTTTCCTACAAATAAATAATATAATATTTTTTAAAAACATCTATTGATTTAATCATTTAATCATCAAAAATGTACTCTACTGAGTGTACAAAGTCGTTACTGTGTGTCCATTTGAACGCAGAGACGCATAAAACCTCTTAAAAAAAAAAAAAAAAAAATGCCCCGTAATACATTAATAAACTAAACCGTTGAAACCAAAATATCCTAATATAAATGATCGTATCACGAATTGTTAAGAAGAAAAACGAGAAGCCAAAGGATAGAGAGCATAATACCAATTATACAAACGATGTCGCTAAACGACTTAAAAAAAATAACCCGGCTGCGTATAAAAGAGCGTCTCGGCACGGAGTTAATTATCGTACGACTTACGAGTCGAAACCCGGGAGTTATTTGTTAACACAAGTATGTGTGGGGGAGGGGAAGGAAAAAGTCGTGTCGTATATATTGTTATTATTATGTAAAAATATTATACGCGTATAAGCCTCGGGTGTTTTTTTTTTAAATTTATTTATTTTTTGTTCACGTCCTATTACAATAATATATTGTATTGTCTGCGCCAATTCTTTGCGCCTCGCACTCTTTTGCGTCGTATATGATGTTAAACACGAAGTTTTATGTATCATAATAATACGTTTAGATACCCTAGGTGCACTATTTAAAATACAATATCATACGCGTTGGTATGTTTATTTATCGTTTAAATTCTATTTTTTTTTTCGCGTACGCGATAATACGCGTATAAAGTATCTACAAACAAACACGCTCTGCGCGCACGCACGTATAAATATTGTGCACGCGCACATATTAATAATTATTATCATAACAGCATATTTTATGGCGTTACATTTTAAATTGTGTATATGCCTAACCATTTTCGAGGCATTGCAAAAATTAACATTAATTAGATGAATATCAATAATAAGTGACACTCTGGTATTATCACAAACCAATTAGTTATAATAATAGGGAACTGCGGCGCCGACCGTCTAGACCGCCTTTGACAAAACACTATTTTATAATCAAAAAAAAAAAAAAAAGAAAAGAGGACTGACATACTTCGCACGTGGGGTGCAATCACTTTTGTAGGTGGGAAGTTAGGAAGGTAGGGTACAGGTGAGAATATAATGTATATATCTGTAAGTAATGACAAAACCATTGCTAACAAAAAACGATTCTGAGCGGAGTTCAGTTAATTGTTTTCCTTTATCAACAATATATATATATATATATATATATATACGTCATATTATGGTAAAATGATTACAACAATGTGGTTTCCATGACAACAATGATTATTTAATAAAAAAATAAAAACCTAATAATTACAAAAAATAAATAAAAATAATTGCTAATGACGATTTTATTTTTAATTATTCAATTTTTTTAACCTAAATAACCAGGTTTTCCTTATTATCTCAAATGTCAATGAGAATTTCAAAAAATGACCTCTCTAAAGAAATACCACCCTGAGAACATTTCCTTTCAGAAAAGGTGCTAAGAGGTGTTATACTTCATAATCGGAGTATGCTTTCTGGTAGAAAAAGTGTTTACATTAAAAAAAAAAACAAATTTAAAATAATCATTGTAAAACCAATACATTTCTCGCCCCAATCAGAATCTAAACAAGTAGGTAACATATAATACAAATAGATAACGGTATTAGGATAATATAATAATCTTATATTACATACATAAATAACGAAACAAGAATTATTGGTATTGTTTTCGATAATCTATCATAGATTATCGAAAACAATGAATTTTCTCAAATATCCACATCTAATTGCTTATTGGCTATTGTCAAACTGATTTATGTTAGCTAAATTTATGACAACTACTTTAGTTGTTTAGCTATTACTGTTAATAGCAAGCATATAATGTGGATATTCAAATCTACGTACATATAGTATTTGTAATACCATTAGAGTATAGATTTCGAAGCGATTGAATTCGTTTCTTTTTTCTCAAAATCGAAAGCGATGATGATACGGGCATATCTGAATATCTGAAATCTACGGACACGAGACTTCGTGGTCGGTCTATAAGAAAATAGTAAAAGCTGGACGGATGGACGTTGCCGAAGAGGTAAAAGGACGTTAGTAGAATGATAGTATTTAGAAAGATTTGGTACTTTTTTTTTTGGAGGGGGGGGGAATAGAGGCTAAAATAATCCTAATATATGTAATTATAAATAATGAGTTGTTATATAAAAATAAAAGCAAACATGGACGATCTCGGGGAGGCTTTACTGCGGGAAGGGAGATTCTAATGGTATTATTCTATGACGTTTATTCTAAAAGAGTAGATATATTAAATAATAGATGAAGTTCAAAAACGTAAGTTCGCTGGCAGTTAAATATATATTTACGATTTGTGTAGCGTTGAACAAGTAATAATAAATGAAAACGATTTTATTTTGCAGGGATTTTTTGAATTTCGTACTCTTTAACATTTTTTTTTTTTCGACATTTTCATAATACATTTTAAGAGCAAAAACCAATTTTAGTGTGTACAATAGAATAAGAGTACTTTTATAGTTATTTGAAGTAATATTGAAAAATATAATTTTTTTTTTTTTTAAATAATGGATTTTAACAACAACTGATTTAATTAAATTTTTTTTTTCAAATGATATTGTCATCAGAACTAAAAAGCTGTGTGCACAATTTCAGTTTGATAGGATATCGGGAAAATGGTCAAATAATTATTAAATTTGATCAATACAGGCGAACTTCATAAAAATATTGAAAAATTAAAACAATAACTGGATCTTAAAATTTATTTTTGAACTTTTCTTTTAGGATTTTCATTGTTTTAATTGCTTTACTGAAAATTATTTTCAATTGTTTTTTAATGACTGGAAATCCGTACCCGTATTATTATAGTTTTATAATCGCGGTGATTTTTGTCACTCCTTGGTTCTTCCCTCTCCCTCACCAGAAAACACTCTTAGGAGCACAGTAAAAATTGATCGAAAATTTTCATCAGACGTCCGTACCCATTCAAACAGATAGTCGAATATTCGAAATAAATATACACACTTTATGATTCTTAACTGTAGGTAAGAATTGTTTTTTTTTGGACATATTATAGTCTAATTGACGTCCTATATTAGGCAAATTTGTACATAATTACGAACAACTAAAAATGCCGAGTAAAATATTCAAATTAATGTCAAATTTGAATTCCAGCTGGCAATAATGAAATATGTTAAACCGCCACAATGCATATGCCATTATCGCCACTAATATATTTTAGGACGGTTCCAAATATACATTAACATACCTTCGGACAAAGGGGAAAAGAGAAAGGGTGGTAAATTATTTTAACGAAATACCTGTTTAACGGTTTAATGCTAATCGAATATTTAGGCGTTCGTTAATCTTTTAAATCATCGCTCCTACCGAGATAACATTATTTTTGTTTCCGAAATAGGTTTTAACTATAGGTTTATTGTAATAATACACGGGTATTATATTGTATCGTTCGAACGTATTAAATTCGATTTACTCTCCAAATTGAACTATTTCCTAGACAACAATATGCCATTATAATATTAAACTATACTGAACGATATATGCGCGGACGGTAGGCAAAATATAACGCTAGATGTTGTCCTGCAACCGATGACATTATTATATTGACGTATAGAATCAATATTGTTAGAGAGACCGATTTAATTTCAAATTAAAATAGATTTTCTACCATAAATATATTGAAAACGGGAGCAATGACGTTGAACTACCAAAATCGACAATAATGAAGAACCGGCCGAAATTATGTCTATATGAAGATTTTGTTGAAATTTGATTTCAGTCCACCCACAGTGAGACAGAATATCGAAACAAAATTTAAAAATATGTAGTATTTGAAAAATTACTAATTATTTTCGGTATTGTTCAAAAAACTTCACATTTGAACGTAGTTACTATTTTTTATATTCTCCCAAATATAAGCTGCCCGGCAATTTAGGTATTTACTTATAAGTACATTTTTTTTTTTTTAAATCAAAATTGTATATAATACATTTTAATAAAAACATATAATTTTACAAGACATAAAAAAAAAAGTCCTAGGATAATGGGAAAGGGTGCTGCCTCGGTTATAGGTAATTATAGGTAGTTATAGGTAATTATTAATGTATACCTGTAAGCAACGATAAACCATAGCTTACGATAAAACGATTCTGAGTTCAGTTAATAGTGCTGCTTTGTCAACAATACATATGCCATTTTGTAGTAAAATACTTAAATAGGCCTAATATATTTTCTTTAATAATAGGTGTTTAATGTTGTACTGTTTTCCCAGTTTTCCTACGGTTTTCCCATATTTATCTAGGTTTTTCACATTTGATGAGAAAACTCCCGGCCTCATGAGCTTTTTACAGGACCTTTCTAGTGAAATTTCCTTTTAAAAACAGTGCGTTTATACAATGTTGGAGCAAAATTACTGGTAGAAAAGTTATGCTCAGGAAAAAAAAATCGTAATATTTTAGTAATATATTATTTTGTACATTTTCCCGTTTTTTTACGATTTTTCAAATTTTATGGGAAAACTCCTGAGAAAATCGAAACATGGACCTCCTTAAGATACCACCAGACGCCGATTATCTTTCAGAAAAAGAACTACATAAGTCTTCTGGTGGAAAAAATATACAAAGTTAAAAACATAAACATCTTTGAACAACTATAAGCTTCTTTTGCTCCACTCAGAATCTAAATGATTAATACTAATACTATCCAAATTTATTACGAAATTATCGTTTCGTTGGACAAAACAGTGGCATAGCCAGGATTATTTTTAGGTTTTTTTTTTATTTTCTATTTAGATCTAACTTATCTGTAACTTTATTATACGCGTAGAACATATACGACATAACAGAATACTCACTAATTATCTATGCGAAACACAGCACATTTTGTAGAAATTTGATGCATAACTGCATATAGTACAAATTATAATTTTTGGTATAAATATGGTCAGGGAGGGGTGTTTGAACAATAAAACACCCACCCCGCGCCACTGGATCAAAATACACGTTTTCAAGGTTACTAAATCTAAATTTGATATTAAAACGCCTTGAAAATGGTAGTCGGATGTCTTCACATTTTATCGCGTGGACGCGATAAAATTATAATACTTTTATGGTGTTCACAACACAATTACGTCGTCATCATAAAGCACAAGTGTAAAAAAAAAAAAAAAATGATAAAGCTCTTACTGAAAATGTAATGTTGAGAATGTTTTCCGTTCGTATATATTTTATAGTATCCGATAAATATATATACAATATTATTATGTATTACACATTATATTTCCTAACAAGATAAATTTTTTTTTTTTAACCATCAACTGTGAGAAAAATACAGGGAAGTTATATTTTATAAGCATTATAACTAATATAATCCCATTGTTTATCTCAAGACATTAAAAAATTGTTAATCTTCATCTCGAAACTCGTGATGACGAAAAACTAATTCCTTATTGTAGATACGGTACCTACATAATTTCGACGGATAAAAAAAAAACGTAGTAATAAAAACTTTAAAAAGATTAAAAAACAAAAAAAAAAAAAAAAAATGATTAATTTTTCATTTGTGAATAAATAATATTTAATACTCGATAAATAATACATTTAATATCGATATTATAATCTCTTTAGTCTTTTTATTGATATATAAAATAATAAATCCAATTATCAATATTGTATTGTTTCCTTTTTTTTTTTTTTTTTTTCACTTTATTGATCGTTTTTATTGCATTAATAATAAAAATGCCGATTATTTAAAAAGAAAAAAACTGCTTTATAATCAAGATTATAAGATTATTTATTTATTACTATTTTTTTTTTCAAACTTTATAAGGTCAGGTACCGATCAATTTATCGACAATAGGTATATAAGGTTTTAAAATAGTATTATTTGTATTGTAGAACATGCTTTTTAAATAAAGCATGCACAGTTTTTTAAAAATTAATTCGAAAGAGTATACAGTGCGAACCATTTATTCTGAACCAGCAATTTTCACGGATGATTTTAAGATCCCTCCATTTTTTCTCAATGAAGTTTTCACCCGTATTCTTTTTACCTCAAAAAAGTGTGCAATTTTGAGTTTAGCATAGATATAGCCTTTTTAACATAGATTGGGATAACCGAAATATGGAGTTGTGAATTTTCCATCTAAAAAGAATTATTCTGAAACACATTCTACCATTTGCCCTACTCCTCCGGTTGAAGTTTGAATCATCATAATTCATAAACAATAAATCCGATATTGTAGACTATTGAGGCAAGTTTGGAAGGTATAGGATGCATATGTTATTTAATTTATATCTGTACGCAACGATAAATCGTTGGTGACGAAATACAATTCGGAGCGAAGTTTGGTTAAACATGTTTCGAAATCTCGCGGTTTTTACGATTTTCGTTAAGATTCTAATTTTTCTATGGCCCGTTCATCCAAGTTACTTGAGGTCAACCATCCTTGTCCTAAACTCGGATTCTAACTTAATAATAAAAAAAAACCTCTGTTTATTAATGCACCAAATAGATGCAATTCACTGTCATCCGAAATAACATTACACGCGAAAACCGGAGTAAGATTTACAGAAATGTCGTTCGCAGACAGAAATCGAATTCTCAATTAACTTAAATCCCGTCGAGAAGATCGCATGACAAATTGATCACTCTGTATATCCGCAAGTTGTATTATAGTTGCCGAGCAACTCGAAAAACACACAAACGTTTATTTATAAATATATTATCGTAGGTACCTGTCCAATATGTCCACAGATGTCAATATTTTATTATACTCCCGTCCAAAACTAAAAAAGAACAATATTATATACGGAGGGAAAGAAAAACCTTAACCTATTTAAATGGTGGCGTCCGATACACAATTGCTAATGTTATATTATTATGTTATCCGTACACGGTTCTCCGAGTTGCCGTGCAAAGAAACATGACATAATAACAATAATTATATTCCTATAGCCGAGTGGAGAATATTAAACAAAATATAGAACGCGGAAGTATACAGAGTGTTGTGTATGTTAATGTGAAACACCGGCATCTATATAAATAATAACAAGTACTGTGCATAATTGCTGGAGTATTAGTTTAGATAAATTTCGGTGTCGGCGTTTGTGCTTTCCGTAGCCTCGTTGTCGAGATATTCTGCGATTATGTCTGCGTGGAGGGAGAAAATATGCATCTTAAAGATTTCAATACTCTGCGACGTAAGCAAAATGTTTTACGTTAAACGAATCATACCGTACGGTCATAACGCCGAAAATGCTTTTCGCGACGAAATATAATATAATAAACATCGTAACAATAGAATTAATACGAACGCGAAAAGTCTCATTTCAATCGAAATACAATATAAATATTTTATTTTACCGGGGATCCGAACGGACGAATGAAATATAAGAGAATAATAAACGTTAACATTTTCAATAAATTAAAATAAATAAATTCAGAGACGTTTAGCCGCAGCGTTGATTATTTTTTTTTTTTTTTTACATGCCTATTATCATTATTATTATTATTATTATTATTGCGTATTTTGAGAATAATTTTTTTGAAATTAATTTTCTCCGACTCGGCACCTACAACACCTATAGCTCGTTCCTTTTTTCACGGGTCGCGCAAAAGCTTTTAGTTTTAATCGCTTCGAGAGAAGTGAAAATTTTAATCGGCCCCGAGCGCGACGGTAATAATTATTATTGTTATTATCATCATCGAGTCTCCGAAACGACGGGAATTATACGATTAACTATACAAGTATTCGTTTTTTTCTATTCGAATATTAAACAAAATCGTTAGTAAAACAAATAAAGCAATGAAAGCCCATTCGATGAACGTGCAAAGATTGCGGTTTCTAAACGTATTTCAAATTTTGATAGACTTTAATAACCTACAGTAATATTAATCATACGTGTAATAGATACAGAAATCAATTAAATATCTCAATTTGTATACAGGCGACAGGACGTATTTTTACAATTTTTCTAACACTCGTATTTGATATTCTGAGGGAAAATTTTGCTAAATTTAGTAGTTTTTTATGAATATATATATATATATATATGTCCGTTTTAAGTTTGAATTTTAATAATAGTCGTAAAAATGTTAGCATTTCAAAACACGTATACCCGGACTTTGCTCAGATATTTCGTTAGTAACGATTTAACCGAACCTACTTACCCCGACTTCCCAACTATAACAGTGGTAACTATACGCATCAGCAGTATCAGATCTTTTTATATATCGGCTAGTAGGTATGAATTGAAATTTTAGATTTCATGTTTAATATTCGAATTAAATTTAATAATGTTACAATCGTGTTACAATCACAATAATGTTATGAATCTTAAACATTATTTGTAAGACGTGAGTTTTTGTGACGATTCGTTGTTCTCTCTTTGTACTTAAACATAATCAATAAACGAGATACCATTCAAAAGATTAAGTTCCCCTCTTTTAACGAATTGTTAATTTAATTAAACTGTTCAATCTACTCTTCGTTTAAAAACTGAAGTTGAAAATTTACGTTCGAATGCGATTTTTACGCACGGCTCAACTATAGGGTACATTTAAACTAAGAATGGTAATAATGTTACAAATGACGTACGTCCCTCCATGAACAAAACCAAAAGCCGTAACTATATACTATACATATAGTAAATATACGGACGGACAGATAGATCGGGGATGGTTAAAGCATTCTAAACATTATGAAATATCTCAAGAGAAACTATTATAAACGATAATAATACAATTAAAAAACCTTTTAATCGCGTTATTAGCCCAACTGATTATTTTGACGGAACACGCAGTTGCACAAGTCATTTGGTATTCGTGTTCAACAGGCTTATAAAACGATTTTCGAGAAAAATATTCCGAAAGTGTAACGACGTTAAAAATAATAGGTGATATTATAATACTGTCCGATCCAACAGTTTACTATTATTATTATTATAAACATTTCAAAGGACAAGTTTTCGCTTTTTTGGCAGACGTACTGCGATAGTATACAATATACGAGTATATGTATATACGTATTAAATAATTCAGTTATTCGAGTCGAGTTGGCAAATGCTACGTATAATATCGTCTCCCATATTATATATACCATATTATAATGTCAATTTCATCTCATTATTATAAAATAACGCACGAACAACGTTTTGTGTTTGAGTGCTACTATGCAAAGGACATCGTCGTACATTGTTGTTTACTGTTGATGATATTCCTTATTGCAATAAGCTCCCCGTCAAATATAATAATATAAAATCTCGAAAAACAAAAATAGATGTATAGAGCTACTCATCGCCCGAGCACCGAGTTTATTGTGACCGTTTTTGAGTAATGGAGGAAACAACAAAACAAAAACACAACGAGAACCGTATGAAATTAAAAAAATAATAATAATAAAAAAACCGTACAATTTTATATACGTTGCATACTACGTATACCGATGATGTTTAAAAACGTGTTTGCCATGTAAAACAAACGGAAACGGTCTCGTTGAATTATAACTCAACGTATTACATGAAATCTACCGAAAACAATATTATTCATACGAAACGACAAATAAAACGATAAATTTCGATGATTTTTTTCTTCAAAACGTCCGTACGTCTAAACATTTTGTGCTACAATAAACGACCGATTTCTGAAAAATCACCTCGTAGATTAGACGAACACATGCTATAATAGGAAAAATCAGATTGATTAGTCCACGAGACATTAATCGTTAATTTCATGAACTATGCGACGACGTAGAATTATTAGGTGATTGATTTCATTAGTAATAGTATTTACTATTTACGTAGGATTTGTATGCCCTAGTGTCAAAAAACAATACCCACTTCTTTTCCCCCGCTATTCATTTACACTGGTAAATTTTTTTAATTTTCTTTATATCGACGTTAATTTACAGTTCTTCTGAAAATCGCCATTTGAAATCATTTAAATTTTGCCGCTTCGGGCAGTGAAACCCCCTAAATGAAACACCGAGTATACGGTGGTTACTGACTTCATACGGATCTAGGACATTTTGACAAAAGACATTTTGGCGAATCGTTTTTGTCGAAATGATAAACCGGCGAAACAATTTATTTATTCGGAGCAAAGATCAGACAATATTATCTGTATACTTATACGTCAAAATGTCAGTCATTTACGTCTTCTCGTCTCCAAAAATAATCCTATCAATTCAAATCCTAATAATAATATCGGTTCGGCCGAACCTTATCGTAATAACGTTCATAGCAACACTGCATCAGATAATTTTCTGAACTATCTAAGACAATTCAGAGATATCGTTTTTCGTTAGCGATAGTTGCGTAAAAACATAAATGAAATTACTTTATGATCCTGCGTTCTCAACTCCCCACTTACAACAGTAGCACACCCGTCTCCAGTATCAGCTATTATTTTTTCCTTTTTTTTTTCTTTAAATAAATAAATAAATTGTTTCGCCGAAATGACCGGATGCGGTATCCGGTTCACGCCCCAGTCGGAATTCCACCGTATACTTATCGTTGTCTCGTTGGTTTTTTTTTTTTTTTTATTTGTTCTGTAAGTCTATAGAAAAATTTAGTCGAAATAACGCCCGGGAGTTTCGACGTCCGCTACTTTTCTCGACGCAATAACATCATATCACTGCAGTCTCTCGAGTCCGATAAATTATACGAGACATAATACGATCACATTATCATAATACCTATTCGCGACGGCCGTACGAGCCTACCGTTATTGCAATATCAAACGCCGAAGGATATTTACGTGTATTAATATATATATACACGTGTGTGCGTGTACGTGAACCGAGCGCAACGCGCGTGCTACACGTAATATTGTAATAGTATTTATTCGTGATATCTGCACGCGCATAGATCAATACAATATAGAGATAGTGTGTGTGGATACGTGATATAGATAATCGTACATTTTACGATCCCCGAAACGAAAATTCGTATACGTAAAGGACGCGCCGGAGGCGATGGAGGGGGCGGCGCGTAGGAGGAACCGGAGAGAGAGAGAGACGCGAAAAGATGTTCGAATAAAATAATGTCGTTTTAAATCTCGATTGAACAACTGGAAACAGAAATATTCCTATACAAATACATTTATATTTATATTATTATTATATAGGTACCTATCTACCGCGCCCGGTATAAATCGGTATATAACGAAAAAACTTTTGCCCCCGCAATATTTCCCGTCTAAATCTTCGCGGAAAAATAATAACGGCCGGGGAATATTAAATGGAAGTAAAAGGAAGGAAGGAACGGCGAAATAAGTTTTATACGCGCGCGTAGTTTTAAGGTTAAACAAATATTTATCGCGCCGGTATTATTATTTTACCGCGGGTTTTTTTTTTTTTTTTTTTTATTTTTTCGTTCGCACACACAAACGCAGCACGTAACGACACACGCACATCGAGACGGCATTGATTTTTTTTATGATTATTATTATTATTATTATTAATATTATTTTTAAATAATAATTGAAAAACGAAACGCGAGACGCTCCGGTAACCCCGGTCAACTATAATATAATGTATACCCGGCAGTACGCATAATAAATATTCCAAATTTAAATTAAATGAAAGTATAACCCCCGACGACGAAATCCGAATACAATAGGTAAACGTTTTTCGATATTACATGTATAGGGTGCACTCGTATACACAATTCGATATTATCGAATGTCTAAATATCGATTTCCAAGTCACAACAATGTGATAATTATTATATTATTATCGAGAAATAATTTCCATAGTCTTTCGTTTTTTTTCGATATTGTCGAAAATCCTAAAATAAGTTTTGTTTGAGCTCTTCATAACTCCCATAACTGGGCGCATTCTTTTGATCCGTGTCACTACAGTTTGCGTGCTTCACGAAACCCACGCATTATTTAACGTCTCCTTTGATTATTATTTTTACTAAGCTTTTGTCCTTAAGTAAAATTATTAAATCTTATCTCTTCTGTATATTGAATACGTTTCCATAAAGAAGGTGTTTTTCCTTTATTCAGTTTGAAACTAGTTCGTTCAGTCCGTGGGACTTTTAGAATTTCCCTAAACACCATGGTCGTTACAATATCTTCTAAATAGAATATTATTGATATTATTTTTGAGATTTTTTTTTTTTTTATCAACTCAACAAAAAGTAGTCAATCGTTCGATTTTATTGAGAATTACGAATTTAATGTAAAATTACTGTTCGCTAATTTTATTATGAAATATGTTTTTTTCTCTGCGCGGACAATCGTTCTACCATCATAAATCTTCATAGGTTTCTGTTACGATTCATATTCGTCTGAAATAATCGAAGAGACCTGAATTTTCCACAGACTACTTATACATTCGTACTTTATAAGCTTAGTAATATTGTCAAATCGTTTTGCCGAATTTCGAGTTATTTATAGACAATTAAGTTTTTTGAATTTGTTTAGTAGTTATAATTGAGTTTTACGCGGATGAAATTGTTCAAGCGGAAATACTTGAGAAATGTATACAAAGTTCGTCATAAATATTTGTACTAATAGTGGTCAACCAAAAAAACTTGAGCGTGCTTAAAGTTTACATTTCGACGAAAACCGTAAACAATCATTTCAAAATATTAATTTGACCGCAAACTTCGTTCAGAATCGATTTTCGTTGCATACGGATTCGAAATTGAACAGTTTCGCAACTTCGCGCCGACAACAGCGGTACGCCCATCGGCGCTATCTGATCATTTTCCACCGTTTCTACAGAGATAATAATTTCAATTGTAGAGATTACCGCGTCTAATCTGCCCATATATTAAAAGTTTACCGCCTGGCCGCAGCCCGCCATCGCGGACAATATAATAATTATTCGTGTTGAAATATTCGCCGTTTTATAATGTAAAACGTCGAGATTATTTGCGAAATTATCATAATAATATTCGTACACGTCCGGAAAATAATAACGAAACGAAAAAACTCGTAAACAACGACGCGTCGTCGTTATCGGTGACGAACATACCGGACGACCGGATGTTTCCACTATTATTATAGTATATAAAATAATGAAATCGGTCGATGACAACATGACGTGTGATGGTGTAATTTTAATTTATACAAACTCGCAAACCGCAATAATCGTGTCCGGGCCGAGCAATAATAATAATAATGACGTGTGTTATTTTTAATAATACACTCGTGTTTAGATAGTTTAATAAGTCGCGGGCTAATATGAAAATTCAATATTTTGTATGCAATACCTATAATACTACGGTAATAATGATTGTAGGCACGGGCAGCAACGAGTTTTTTACGCGGATTGTTCAAAGTGCTCCAACAACAAACCTATACACTTTCCGAGATATTGCAATGGTTATATCTATGTGAGATACCCTGTATACTAACGCGCGACCTTAGTCACAAACAGTATTATAATTTACGACAAAAAAAAAAAAAACACCAACAAAAGTTCGTTTGCTGGTTCGAAATTGTTTAACTTCACAATAATGTTTGTGTAATATTAGAAAAAAGAAAAGAAAAGAAAAAGAATTATTACAGCATTATTAAGTCCTAACGAAACGTTAATTGTACGGTTTAACGAAATCCGTACGGTACAAATAGACAAAAAAAAAAACGCGTCTGAAAACCGACGAGGGGCCGGTCACAATGTTTCGCCGTTAACAACCGGTCCCGTTTTAAAATATCATAATACCGTCACAAGACTACTCTATAACGCGATGAACTATCCGCGACCATTTGGCCCTTGTTCATTTCTACCCGATATGATTTCTGAACGACTCGAGGTGTTCGGTTTCGGGTTTTCTATCGAGGACAAGAAACTTTCTTGGAACAGTATCGGATTTAAGCGAGGCGTTTTTTTTTTTCGCGGCGTAAGTCGTGCTGCAGGCCACCGTGCGATTACAATTTCCTATATCTGGGTATTGCACCGCGCTACAGAATAACGTTAAGCCGGCCAGAGAGTGCAACAAATGAAGACTTGATAAATATCGAGCATCTATATTGGAAGAATAACAACCATTGAAAAGTTCGATGAGAATTGATTGGCCATATCAATCAAACGCGAAGGTCTGTTGTACAGCTATTAATTGCATTGGAGAGCGGAACCTGTGGTCTACACGTGCACATGAACTAGGCTAAAAAAACATAATATTTACAACAGACCTCGAAACATCAAAGATGCGATACGCATTTACTATGTTCACTAAGAATTAAAGAGGACGACAGCCGATGGAGTGCAGTTGCATACCGATCTCTGAAGATTGACAACTATAAAAACAAAAAAAAAGAGAGAAAAACAAGAGTACGAGAGTAAAATTGTTTTTTGAAAGTATAATTTGACAAAAGAAAAGACGGACGATTTAACGTTATTATTTTATATTTTTGGTCGTTTTTATATTTTCGACTTTGCCGTTATTTTTTGTACGTGCGTTTCAAATAATTTTTCGGACGGATAATTTCAATGTCACTAACGCTCTTGATGAAGAAATTTCTTATAATATAATCGTATACTATATTTTATAATATATACTTTGGTTCTTTTAAAAGATATAAACTAAAGTAGAGAACGGTTTTACCGGCGTATTCTTTTAAACAAATTTAAACAGCGATGTAAAAGGAGAAATCAAAATTTAAATCCTAAAAAAATTCATCTCTACTTTAATCATACCAACGGCCTAAAAATACACAGTAACTGATTGATTAGTTAAATTCACAGATCAACAAAAAAAAAGTCACATACGAGAATATTTTGTTTTTAATTCTGAGTGTAATTTTTTCGTGGAAAACGCTATTTTCGGTTGATTAAAATGATCAATATTGTACTTTGTACCATAAAAGATGGAGATTTTTCGGCCGATAGTATTTCATTTGAATATTTTTTTCAGATTCTCAAAAGTTTTAAAACAAATTAAAAAAAAAAAAAACCAACAATAAATGAGGATATCGGTACATCTAAATCAATTAATATTAGTTCTGCAATCGACTTACTCCCGAAAAAAAATCACCCGAACAGACTCTAAAGACGTTTAAGACATTCGATTTCACGAAGGAAAAACTTAACAGTTTAATAAGTAATCCGAATTCGGGTCTGTTCGATAACACGATTAAACCCTGAAGTGGAAAAAACGAGTCAAACTCGATTCAAATTAAATACGTACGATCGTGTATATATAATACGAACCCGAGTGTTTTCCGTGCTACTCGCAGTGGATTTTCAGTTCGATATTGGATATAGAATGCGACAAACGCGCGGAGAATAACGTATAATAAAAGAGCAGGTTTTTTTTTTTTTGTTTTTTGAAAGCATCTGCAGACACCGGAAATTCACGCGATCGTGTAAGTTTAGAACGTACTATTACGTACCACGCGTATAGCATGGAACGCGAATTATTTTAATGGAGAATACTGGCAAAATCGCCAAAACGGAAAAAAATTGCGTGTTGTGTTTTCAATCTGCTAATTGTGCATGCGCTTTAATTGATTCCGATGCGCATTTTTCAACTTTGACGTGTTGAAGAGAAAATATTTACGAGGGATATTTAAACGTGCCGTCACGGTTTCGGGCAACACGAGCAATTGGGGGTCTTTTTTTACGACTACGAAAAGTATGTGTTATATAGAGATCATTATTGACATTATTTTCAGCTGCCGGAAGCATCCGTATGACGTCATCCCGGTCTTTCACGCGACTGAAACAGAAAAAATAAAAAGGCTCGGTCATCAACGACGGCGCTTTTATTAGGCAATTTAACAGCGCGCGGGCGTGCAGGATCAAGATATTTTTTATTATTATTATTTTTATTCGATTATTATTCCGGTCGTCGTCGCTTGGGAATAACAACGACTACGCTACTACCTAGTGGTTATTTTTTGTTATGTAAATGGCACTCTAATTTGCTTATAAAAGTTGTGTAAGTATAATGAGAAATTAAAACGAAACAAAAAGAAAAACTCATGATCACCCTTGTATATCAAATTGTCGAGTATTTTTATACAAGACCGATTGTAGGTATGCGAACGTTGATCAAAATTATAAACGGACATCGTATCGAAATTACGAGATTATTTAAACGAGACCGAAAAAAAATGTTGTATTCACGCATCAATCGAAGAACTGCGATTTTTTTACCGAACTATAAGAATATAAAAAAAAAAAAATAACGGAAGCCGTTATTGAGTAAATTTTCCCGATTTTCCTAATTTATTCATAACACCAATGCACAAACTAGACGAAATTTGATTTCTGGAGATCTTTGTTACTACTCATGAAAATCAGATCAAGACTTCTGGTAGGAGCATTGTTCAATGACATAAAAAAAAAAAAAAAGGAAAGGTACACATCATAGTAAATTCAATACATTCCACGTTGCAATTAGCACATCAAATCCGTTATACGAATAACAGTGCCAATTTACTTTTTCACCATTTACATAAATAATAATAGATTTTATAATTAATATTTGTACATATTATATTTTCAGTTCATCGGAAAAAAGGTTTCATTATTGGACATTTTTATTTTATAAAATTTTATGTAATTAATGTAATTTCCCCTCCCTTATATTTTAGACTGAATTGCAGACGTGTATTTCAAAATTAATGTATGTGATGTATTATTAGTATTAGTTTATGTATAAGTGAAAGTACCAAATGTATGTTGCAAATTTAATTTGTTTGTATTGAAAACTACACTCAAAATTGACTTAAGCCCTTTTATCCTGGGAACGATACGAAACCGTCGAAGTTTATATCGTTTGAACTTTGTTCATGTTTTACAAAGCGTTCGCTATAAAAAACTAACGAATAAAATACTGGATATTTATAAATATTATACGCGATATAAAATCATCGCGAAAGGTATGTAGTGTACCTATTATTTTTTAAACCCCGTTGTAAAATTCGTCTCCCGGGCCCTCTCGGTGCCGGGCCGACACATACGACAACATCGGAGCCCGTTTTTCGTATACCGTGTAATATTATCGTTTTTTTATTCATAACGGACGTTAAATAATACGCGTTTTCGAGAGAAGCACGTCGACAGATGTCGTTTGTTCTCACGGAACGGCCGTATTTCCACGACGTAATAATAAAATACAATCGTATTATTATAATGCGCGACGATTTGATGTCACGACGACGACGATATTATCGTAATCGTTTGGAAAATAAAAAGGGGTTTTGTTTTAGTTTTTCTTTTCTTCTTCCGGGCATAAAAGGGAATTCGCACTAGACCCTTTAGCGTTTATTTTTTATTTTTTTAAATTTTGTTGACAGTAACCTGCTAGAGGCGCGAGATCACTATTATATTATTGTTATTAATATCGATAAAATCAGCGGTAGCGTGGACTTAGGTGCATCACCAGAGAATTTACCGGTGAATTTGTCCAGCCCACCAACCCGCTTAATGATAGAAGATCCCGCGTCTCTCCCTTTTATATATAAACAAAAAAGTATTATATTGTTAGAATCCAATAAATTGCAATTTACAAAAAAAAAAAAAAAAAATAATAATAATAATAATGTTAATTGATACTAGTTCAAGTACGACGTACTGCCTATTTGGTTATCCAAAGAGGCTCTGCATGATCGTGCATCGATCATTCAAATTCGTTAGTTTTGCTGTAATTGATAAGCCTCGAAGAAAAAATCAAGCATCTTAAAATTCATCAGTCAACAAAAAATGTGCAACCCGAACAATTGGTAATCTTCAGTAATCGTGTAAAGGACCCGAAACGCCCATTTAGCTGCAGACCTATCAGCTTACCCGCACACCTATTTAAAAAAACTAAGAGTCTTTAGAGCTGCATAGTAAAATCGTATATTTTCAAGGGTTTTGTGCTATTTTTTTTACAAAATATTATTAAATCCACGGCCTACCGATAATCTGCAGCCTATGGCTACATGAAAATGGAAAAATCCGGTTACATAACTGGAACCGCTAAAACTCCGAAAGCTATATCTAATGTAAATCCACCTTTAAATCATCGTGGCGAGACCGTAAATTATTATTACTCGGGTTTTAGATGCACCCGTCGAGGTATTATAATATTATTATTATTATTATTATTACAATAAAACCCATACAATAACGACCCGAGTTCGGTGGTAATACGACTTAACGTGAATAGAGCGTGTTTTGGGGCGAACGCGAAAAATTATTACCGATATAATAACAGTGTAAAATATTACGCGCTTTTGCGAAAACCGTATACGGTAAACACGAGGGTAAACGGTCAAAAAGTCTGGGGACGAAAATATGTTCGACACAAAAACACCCGTGAGCCGCAGAGCACTACTGTTCCCTTCTGACTATTTTGTATTTCAAAAATGTTCTTTGTAAAACGATAGATAATCGAATTACTATTATAATACAATGATATAATCAACTGTAATATTATATAACTATAACTATATAATATTATATACTATTGCATTATTCTTCTTTGTGAAAATCGCAATAAGTGTGCGTACAAATAGTAGAGATGTTGATTGAAAGCTGAACACCTACAATGTCTTCCACTTATTCCACTATTCAACCCTTCTTTTTGGAGGGTATGCAGGAGTGTTCGAGCTACAAACGAAAATCATCTTTCTCCGGAAAAAACAAGGCGAAATTCTATCCAACTTATATCATTTCAATCCACTAATAAAACAACTCTAATTCGCAAGCTTAAGCTTATTTGGTCTGCCGCAGGGGAAATTCGGGGAAGATTCTATTAAAATCACCCGTTTTGAAAGGATAAGTCAAACAAAAAACTTGTAAAATATAAATGCCTAATATTTATAAAAAGTTATTATTTAAGGATTATCATTTAAAATGTTATTACTAATATAGAATTGGACGGTTTTTTTTTCGTGTAATCGAAATTTTGTATTTTTTTAGAAAAAACTATCCGGAATATAGAAAAAATTATCAATTACAGCTCTACCTGACAACAAATCCGTAGCTTTTAAGAAATGGTGTAAATAATTTGAAGATTTCTTACAACAAGAGAAAAACATTTTTTGTGAGAAAAAATGATCTAGGTGCGGGGTATCATTGAAAAAAGATCCGATAACGAGTACAATGACGACACATTTTTAAATATCTAACTAAAAGTCCTATGTCTTAAACAAAAATAAACTCACCGTCTGACTACGTTCCAGTTTTTCGTCACCATCATGACCATTATCACACTATCAGAGTTACTACCCGCACATTGGAAAAACAGACGGAGAAATAAAAAAAATGAACTCCATTAAATACTACCGCAAAAAAATTTCTTTTCAGAAAAAAGCCTTCATCAGATACATCGAAGTAAGTTTTCAGGTAGATAAAGTGGTCACATAAAAAAAAAAATAATAATAATAAACATCCCCGTAACATTACAAGCTTCTTTGCGCCATTCAGAATATAAAATCAAAATTAGAAACAAAAGTGACGGTAAATGTACTGTTTTCGATTTGCTTATTTAATAAATTTGCTAAAAAAAAAAATTAAAAAAAATTTGTCAAAAAGTAGATAAGGTAATTTAGTGTATTACGTTATGCCGACCATATGTGAACCATACGGAATATTTTCGAATAAACGCGCGTTAAATCGTAGGTACGGCAGTCCGAAACATAAAGGTGTTGAAATATTAATCATCGTTTGATGCATCGGGGCGAACAATCGCGTGACGATTTGAATTCAAAATTACGACCGTTCGCAATATTAAGTCGGGCAATTTCCGAAAAGCGGATCAGAGGGGAGGCAAATAATTCGAAACTTGCCTGATGATATTAAGTCAACGCACCACCGTTGTTGTCGTTACTATTTACGACAAAGCGTAAGTGCATATACCACGCACGTGGGTTCGTTACTATAATATTCGTTTTCCCCTCGAGAAATATCGAATAACTGCGAGCGGGGTCCGGTGTTTTTTTTTTTTTTTGTGAATCTCAACCTACGGGTATTTCGTATATATCCTGCAAACGAAAAACCTTTTTTGATTTTATATTTTTTTTTCGCTATTTGTTCGGTCGAAAAATCGTTGGCGATATTAAATGAAAAAAAAAAAAAAAACCAATAGTTCAATATATTCTGGAAACCAAGAGAGATTTTATTTAGTTTTTCTTTTTTTTTTCAAATTTATTTAAGTTGTTAGGTTGAGTTGTTTAGTGTTAATTTTCTAATTAAATTTATTCGAGTAACTATTTTAAGTTACAAAATGTTCAAAAAAATGATAACGTAGTCAAGGAAAAAGTTACTTGTTTACTATTGCCCTTTACTATACACTCATAAATAAATTTTCTATACAATAATATTTAGACTTTTTAATACGCTCGTCTCGTTATGTGGTAATAATATTCACATAGAATACGTTATTTTCGTCGAAAAATAAATGCATGAAACATAGGTACTCGGTTTTAGATTAGAATCTGAACGGAGCGAACAATCTGTATTGGTTTTACTAAAATGTGTTTTATTTTTCAGTCAGTAAACAACTTTTCTATCAGATAATTTACTCCAATCGAAAAACGCCAATAACGTTTTTTGTCGCATTTTAGAATAAGTTGGTGTATTATCAAAGTCATTTTTTTTGTATTTCTCGTGTAATTTTCAAAACAATTGGTAAAACCGAGAAAAACGTAGAAAGAACGGGAATGTATACGGAAATAACGGTTTTGTTATTTTCGATTTAGTTTTTTTGTTATAATTCTGTTAAAAAAATTAGTAGCGATTTAAAAAGTTGAAAAAAAATTATTTGTATAATTAAATAACTAAATTATTTTCTAACATTCTGATTTTTTTTTTTTTTTCTTAACGTCCAAGTGAATTGAAACAAATCAAAAACATTCATCTATAACAACTTTACTTTTAGCTTCTGAACTATTCATTGCCCCGAAGCCATTTAGATTGTTCGTATTTATTTTCGATATTTGCGGAAGTGTATACACGGAGAATCCACTTTAGCGAACGATGAATGGGACGTATTTTTTTTTTTTTAAATCACGATCCGCCAGAACGCAAACACGAGTTAAATATTTTAACGGTAACGAGAACGTTAATTCGATATTCATTATTATTATAATTTTTTTTTTTTTGTTAATAATTATATTCTAAACGCCGGATCCAGAGCCGAGTGCGACGGATGTGCAGCGTATAATATAAAACGCGAATAATGTTTGAAACTCGACCGAGATTAAAATAATATTGTAATAAACGTAGCGCGGCGGATTTCACCGCGACGAGAAATTCCCGGACCGATAAATAATACGAAAACCATTTTGTTTAAAACGCGCCAGAACCGAAATAATTACAATCCGATACGCCGAACTGCTATGCAGCCGCGGTGAATGATACCGCAGTCCTGTAATTTATTTATTAATTCGACTAAAACAATAATATTAATAATAATAATACCACCGATGATAAAAATAATCACTCTGTGTAAAAATAATACATATACCTATATACTGCGGTATACAATATTTTAATGCGCCGTCTGGTACAGAAATTATGCGCGTTTAGCGGTTTGTACATTATCATTATTTATTATTAATAATGAATTATAACCCTCCCCCCTCCCCTTACGATTCCCCTCACCCCGCGAAACCAGAACCCCGTGAGGACGCTATTCGTCAATATAAACAAACGCATAAAACACTATTAAAATACGAGACCCTAGTTTTCTGACCGAACAACAATATTTTCGATTTATTATTTTAAACGATACCGTTCGTTTTAAATAACGGGTCCAAGTGCCGATTTCCGAGTGAATTTTCCCAACGAAAATATTAATTTACATTATTTTCGTACATTTTGTAATACGCATGTATACGTTACAACATTATTATGTAACCGATCCTTGCATAACCTGACCGTACCTACAATATTAATATCAATATAAAGATAATCGCATAATAATGCGCCATAATAAATGCATAACGCGTTAAGATAAAAAAGTATAAACAAGTAAATATTCAAAACGGTAAAAATCCATATTGTGTATTTTATATTGATAGTAAAGTAATTATACCGAGATGGCGTGGGCATGTCACAGGACGAGATGATTCCAAAATAGTCAGAATTGCAATGAAAATAAACGTAGGAGAAAAAAAGAGGTGGAGAAAAAGACTAAAAAAGAGGTGGTTGATAATGATATGAGGACGGTTAGTGTATACGAGATGGGAACCCGGGGCTATTAGAAGTTTAGAACGAAGGTGACGGAGAAGAAAAAGAAAATTAATAATTCGTTTGAAGATTATAAAGATAATTTCTTTTTTTGCGGCATTTTTCGTCATATAGGTACATCGAAAATTGGTATCGCGGCGATCACCCGAGGTAGCCACTTTAATTTGGCTTCTCTAGAAATTGTCCACTATATATTCATAGAATACATAAATTAATTCCTAATCCCATCATACATGGTTCACGTCACACATCCACCTCAACATTCTCGTTTCTTTTACAATTATCCTATACTGTGATGTCGTCTCTCTTATAAAATTCAATGTCCGACAACTCGGTTCAATACCTTATAGTAAATTCACACGACACTGATCCCGTAGTTCGCTTTCATCTGTACTTTATCGACGGATAAATATCAAAAACCACACGAGTTTTTGAAGTGAAAGAGAGCTTTATAAATGAAAAAAAAAAAAAAAAACTTTGATCGCATAGCCGCCGTGACCGCGCCGGTTCGAGTAATATAAAATGCACTTTTATGGAGAAGATTGAAAAAATTAGCTCTACCCGACCCGTATACGATGCCGTAGGGCCGCGCTGTTATCTCCGAGTATCACGGCGTTATTTTCGTCCGGAAAAAAATATCCGCTAAAAGTCACACGAAAGGGGGTCAGATTTTGCCCCCCGATATGACTCGCACGACTCAAGCATACATAATATTATGCTCGTATTAAATATGTATATAAGTATATATTGTATGCGACTTACTTTGTTTCTCCAACAGTTCGGCCGACTCCTCGCCTTCGTCTTCACCCTCGTCCCCGTCGTCATCTTCATCCGGGTCGTCTTCCGATTCCACGTATTCGTCGCTGCCGCCGGTCTTGATCGTTGGCACAGGTGAATGATAACGCGTCTGTACGTTATTATCGTCATTGTTATTGCTGTGGGCCTCCTGGAGTCTGTGGTGCCGTGATTTCTAAAAAAATATACACATCATATTATAATTACGATCGAAAACGAAGATGGCACAACATCAAATACGAGCCAGAGACGTATTAATTGAATCCCAGTGATGAAATACAAAATACTGACATAATAATATATTAATATTTGCACAATGGGTAGGCCACTGTTGTTGGTAGGAAGTTGAGAAGGTAGAGGGGAAATTTAATGCATATCTGAATATCCAACAATTAACCATTTCTAACGAAAAACAATTCTGAGCGGTGTCCGGTTAATAGTGTTGCTTTGTCAACAATATACCGGGTGATCTATTTAGTGGAGTATTATTTGTGTGGCGGTACGGTGCGCGACGCGTTGATAATGCACCACCACTCTCCTTCAGCCCAAACTTAAAAGTGGAATATCTCGTCAACGGAATGACGGAAATGTGTGTGTGCATATCATAAACAAAAAAAAATTAAAAATTAAATTTAAAAAAAAGCATCATAGTAAAACCAATACATTCTTCGTTTCACTCAGAATCTGAAAACCAAAAACCCAATAACTTAATCGTGAACTATATTAAAAATGTAACAAAAGAGGTCTATTGTCGTTTATCTATTGGAGCAATATTCATGGTAGAAAACGCAAGCCGTACAAATTTAAAATAAAACGTTTTAATTGTTTGCCGTTAACATTGTTTTTCTAATGTTGTTGAATATGTATTTACTTAGATAACGTTAAAATCAACGGTTTTAGTACGTCAGGGGAGACGAGGCGGTCAAACGCGTGTCAGACAATATGGGATAACCTGAGCCGTTCTGCGCAGACTCGGGTTCGACTCTTAGCCCTGACCTATTTTTTTGCATTTTTACAATTTTGTTTACGCATTAAATATTATGCACACAAAGAAATATATTTATTGCCTTGGTAACACTATATTACGCTCTTAGGCTTTATTATTATGAGTATGTTAGTATATAGCATAATAGAATAATACTGTAAATGCTATACTACAATTGTAAAATTGGTTAAATTTGACCACAAAAATTGTAAAGATAGGGATTGAAAGTTTAAGCTCCCAAAAAGGACATCCTCGATACTAATGCCGTCGACATATAACATTACATTCCCTGGCTTCGATTAAGAGGTTTGTTGGTGTGTAGAAAGCTAAAGAACATCTTCCTGCCGCAAAAACGCGGTTCAATAAAATTCATATTGATGACTTAAGTCAACTTCGGGTTGAACCCACGATTCAATCCGCCTAAAAAACAATTCTAACTACCGGGTTCGAGCTCATTTGGTCCAGAGTGATCCGATATGTCCGAAAATAGCGGAAAAATAATGCATTCAACAAGCCCAATATCTATAGTCTCTATTTTCGGGGAAAATGCTAAGAAAAAAAACGTGATGTTGTAGACGTGTATTTTTTTATTTGTGGCCGAGTTAATTTCGGGTTGGAACTATAACTATCCTAGACCCCTCAGTCATGAAAATCCTAAGGCGTATCCGATAACAAAAAAAAAAAAAAAACAAAATAGTTAAAGTTCAATTTGAAATAAACGTGCAGACATGTATTAATAGATAGTGAACGAAAGCTTTTCACAAAACGTCATGGTCGAAATAAAAATAGACTATTATACCATCGTCTATATATTACATACGGGTCTTGAGCGCAATTAGTACGGGGTACAGGACGAAGGAAAGGGGAGGGGGGATAGCGTTTGTCGCGAATCGATACATAGCGTATTTGATAATAAAACTAGACGGAAGTCTCTCTGATGTACGTATACTTCTGATAATTTGTTTGTTTGCGTCCTACTTTTATCGCGAAAACGCGGGTTTTTTTTTTTTTTTTTGAAACGAGATACCGCGCTGCAGCAGAAGATAATTGCAATTTTCTCGTACGAAACTTATACGATCGTATAACTTTCCGTGTATATATAATAAATTATATAAACGGGGCGGGGGGGGGGAACAACAAAAATAATAATAGAATGCAAAACGATAAGTTCACACGTGGATTGCGTACTATATTATAAGAACAGTAGACGACGACTTTCCCGCCGTTAATGGAAAAACTTAATTTATCGTCCGTATAAACCTACTATATATAAATCGAGTCTAAACTATAAATTAATTAGAGCGCGCCGCCGTCGAGTTATTTTATATTATCCCCGGTAAATAGAATTAAACACTTTGCGAATGTTTTTTTTTTTATTTTTTTTTTTTGAACGACGATAATTTAATGTTTAATTAAACATCGCGCCGGATATTTTTATTTCCACGGATAATTATTACTGTAACGCAATTGTAATTGGAAATTTAATTTTCGGCAGATGCGGCGGACCGACGGGCTTCTGCAGCACTGGTAGTAGTAACATCGCCGTTTTAATATTACATCCCTTTTGGGTATTAAAAATTCGCGTCGAACGAACACCGAGAGAAATTAAAACTTGCCGCGTAGTCTCGAATACTTCGACGTGAAATATGATAATCGCCCCGCGGGACAAATACGACGGGAAAACAATCGTCACGACGATAGGGAAATCGGAACGATCGCGCGGGCGATTACAGTCGGGACCTCGCGAAAGTCAATATAACGAAAGATCCGCGGCCGGGCCTTTGCGGCGCACAAATTTATAATTTCGTCACGAACAATGTAATTATACGACGACTAAAACCCGTAAATTGTTTTCCGCCGAGCCCGCTCGTTGAATAAATATATTCAAATGCAATTGTTGTCGTGGTCGTCGTCGTCGCCGTTGTTGTTGTTGTTGTTGTTGTTGTTATTATTATTTCCACTGTTCATTCGAACGCGGGCGAAACGAGTCCAAATTCGTTCGGGTCGGCCGTTCAAGAAACCTTTACGTACAGATATATATATAATCCCGCTATGATATTACAAACGCAAAAGCCTGCGACGGTGTTTGGGGGGCAGAGCGGGGAACCGAATTCCAGTCGGGAAATTTGAATTTATCCGGACCACCCGATAAAACACGCGCAGACCGTACCGAGTGAAATATTTCTCGCGTTTCGACATATGAACCGGTGGCGAAGCGGGGATTCTCGATTGACGGGAGCTAAATACGCGTTTACATGTGACACGGGCGAAGCTAACGATGGGGGAGCGTTCGTCGAAAATCGCAGAAAAGTGATTTTGTCGGTATACATTTTAATGTGTGTATAAAATAAACTTAATACAACTTTATAAAAAAAAAAACTCAATAGCTACTAGGAACATAATATGTGCCCTGGCGGAACATTTTACTAAGTTTTCAGGTAATACGAGTAAGAAATATGGTATGTACGAATATCGGGTCACCAGGCAATCTGGAAAACTCCCTGCTAACTGGTCGTTCGGACCCTCCAATATTTGGACGTTTGCGGCTCAATCGCTTCTGAAATATTTATGATGTACACACACACACACACACACACACATACACACGCACACACAGTGGACGATTATACACAGTTGCGAACAAGTCACCGTGTGAACGGTTGGACAGAACGCGAACAACAGCGAAACTGAAAACTGTATAATACGTTATTTGGCAACGATATGCCGACAGAATAAATTTTACTATTCACGTGAAAAATATCCAACGCGATGTTGTATTTTGACGTCTCCCCGAAGTCATTACGGTATCAATGTTATAGTACTGACAAGGTGTATAACTACTCGAAGAGGTCGTCTCCGGGGGGATGTCCTCAACGTAATAATCACGAATCGGCCGTAGAATTTTCTTCTACCCGCGACAATACGAGTCTAAAAACCGGTTTCAAATTTGTCAATAACGGTTCGACAAAAAAAAAATCGACCTTTCCCCGCCGCGACTCGGTTTAAACGACGAACGCCGCGCGCGCCGCCGACCGTACCCGGTTATCCGTGGGTGGGATACGGCGGCCCATTCGAATGTTGTACGCCTATGAATCGCCGGTACCGGCGACCGACACGCGCGGCCGGACGTCGAGTCCCGCCACACCGCGGCCGCACTGGTCGTACCGTCGCCGCGAGCGCACAGAACTGCAGGACCGGTTGTCGGATAAACGCCGGCGGCCCACGTCGAGAGCCCCGTGTGTCAATACGAATGTACGGCGATGCCGCGTGTCCCGGTCGCTATCCGGCCGCGAACGCAACACGGCCGCGACTTTGGCGCGCTCGGCCGTTGTAGACGTCGGCGCGCGGAAACCGGCCGAAAATAATTCGCTCTGCCCGCCGACGTTACCGGATCGAGATCAAGGTAAATACGCGGGCGGCGCCGGCGGCACAGGCACTCTCGGCAGCAGTTTAATACGATATTATGATAATGTTATTATTGTTGTTACGTGAATATATGTATAAACTCGTGCGCGGCGATGACGACGACGGCGACGTTGCGCATTATAATATTGCCATTGATTATTCGCAAACACAATCAAATCCCATTGAGAGCGGCTCGCCGCGAAACTACGCGACCGAGACAACCGGAGCGTGTAAACATCGCCGTGCGGGGGCTACGCGGATCAGACTACTCGTGTTCGGCGGTTCGTGGTTAATACGACTATTTTCTGGAGAACGGACGGGATTTCGTTTGCTCTCGGCCGTTCCGCGGTGCCCGGCCACGGTCCCCGCGTACACGACAATACGACACGCTTACGCACGACGCCAGCCTCGATTTTACGAGACGCGTTTTGAATATTATTCCGCTCCCGTCGCCGCCGCTGACGAGAAACTTTTGTATCGAGCCGGTCGCCGGTCCCCGGGGAACGCCGCGAGAAAATTGTCGAATACCCGATCGGATCGTCGTCCTCGCAAGCCCGGCGCATCCGCCCGTATACGCCTGTATACATATATTTCGGCGATTTCGCGCGTTTTATTTTTTCCGTTTATTCGTACCGTATCGCAATGACACGTATACGCAACGCTTGCGTGTCCCAGAGGCGAAAAACGTATGGCAAAAAAAAAAAATCTCTGAGAAAATTATCGTATATAACGGACCAAACTTGTGCGGACGAACTTTGGACTACAACCATTGAATGAAGCATGTTTTTTTTTTCTTTCTGAATTTTCGATTCCCTTCATATTGACCTAAATATAAAATCCATCTCTGACCAAGTTTCTAAATTATAAAAACGAGTTCATAAAAAAACATTCAACATCATTCAAATCCCCTCATTGCAACTCTATCCTCTATCGAGCTGCCTGATACAACGCATAGACAAAAAAAACCCATTTTATATAATAGTGGTCTATAAACTTGAACTCTGATTACTGTCTAGATAATGTTAATAACTATTACTGATTGTATATGACTACAGTGGATTAACATCAATGGATATTATGAATAAAAAACAAAAAAAAACTGATTATATTATATTAGCATTGTCTCTATGATTAAATTTCGAAATAAAAGTGACCGCTAAATATTTATTTAGTGAAGGCGGCAAATTAAAAGAAAAAAATCACGTCTTGTTCATATAAGAAAAATGGATAGACGATTGACCAGTCCTACGCATTTTATCCAAGAATGGCGAGTATTAGGACGGCGGCTAACGCTAGCATAATTTAGTAAGTAATGTACCATAGGCCATTTTATCGTTGGTTTGATCACGGTGTATAGGCATTGGTCTGCATGATCGCAAAAACACTATTACTGCCATATCTATATTTACATATTTAATATCTATGGTTTTAAACGCGCCCGTAGGATAAAATCCCACCCGGGGCAAAACGGGGAAAACATCTTATTTTAGAAACATTGTATGATGTTACGGTAAAATTATATGTCATTATGAGTGACATAAGTACATTCAGATAAAAATCCTAAGGTTGGGACAGTTGCCTCTTTTGTTTCTCTTCTGTGGGCGTCCTCGCATGTTTTTTTTTTTGAGTTAGTCAAACGCGTTTAGTGGCGTAATAAAAGCGGTTGAAATTTTTTTTGAGAAAAACCCAGTCTTGTACAATAATTATAATAATGATAATAAATTTTTAGTATTTTGGATTCGTTTCGGGCAAAATGCCGCGACTTTTAATTTAAATCGAAACGTGTGTGTGTGTGTGGGGGGGGGTGGCGTTTTATAACATACCCTTCTAGTCGCGTTCCTGACTATAATCTGCAAAATATGTAACCGGATGTTGCGTCGGGGACTGCAAGTGTCATCATCACTACCACCACCGCCGCCACCGACGCACCGGTAGTCATTATCGTTAGACCGGAAATATGATTGCGGAACCGATTGAGATGAAAAATAATACGAACGCTCTGTACATGCGAAATAACGTTCGCGGTGTATATACACAACGGAACTTTGCGCTCTATTTACGGTAATAATTTATTTACATTTAAATACTAAAGCACGACAAATTTAATCTATTCGACGTCAAAGTTCGATCCCGAATTTCAAACTTAAGTCTCGAGTTTACGAGTTAATATCATACATAAACGGAATTTTTAATAATCGCGTTGGATAATATATATCCCACAGCTATATAATATATTATATAGGTATCCGTGAGACGCGATAATTATAATTCAAATTTAAAAATAAAACGATAGCCAAAGAGGACTGGCACGAAGTTTCGGTCCGAAAAGTATTCAATCTGACTTTGTGTATCTTTTCTAACAGCGCATACCTTTCCGGAAACAAATTCCTGTTCAGTACCCGCTCGATTAAAGCTAATCTGGAACTTTCAACCTTCCCGGGAACATCCTGATTTCATCTTAAATCATTACCGTTTTATGACTAGGGGAAGAGTATTGGAGCGCTCCTCAAGAACCATGCGCTACACAAATGACGATGATACACCATAAAACTCAAATTTATGTAAACTAATATATTACGTTTAATGAAGGCATTATCAATATTGCTAGGTTGCTATATTAAAATCAATAGTGAATAATGCGTTTCGCTCCTTAAGAAAACACTAGGACGATAAAAAAAAAAAAAACAACGAAAATGTGACATTTTAAAAAGCCGCTTGTTTTATAAATTGTCCGAAAAAATATAATATATTCCACGATAATCATTGTCTTATCGAGTATTAATCGCCTTGTATAGGTCCACACACACACACACACACACACAACTATACAATATCAGGAACTTTTATCTCCTCGTATTATGTGCGTCTCGTTTTTAATACACGTTTAGATTATAGATTTTCTATAATTCTAACGAACCTAAGCTCTTTGTTTGAGTATTATTTATACGCTTGTTCAAATGGCAGGAGTGTAGCGTGTTATTATTTTTCGACATTGACCATTTAATATATTATATGAGTATACAATTTTTATCGATTTGGTTTCGTGTTCTTCTTTTTTGATAATACGATTTTCCATCCGGGATCGATTCGTTTCGAAATCGCTTTTGCATCGATTTGTCGTTTCGTGAAATTGAAATAGGTAATAAATATTCCGAAAGTATTATCGACATTATTATATCAATACCAATTTCGGTTTCTTAGAATTCGTCCTTTACCTATCCAGTTTAATTTTGTGTATTTTTTCATATTATACCTATGTTGAGTTTTTTTTGAAAATATTACAGTTTTTCTATACGATTACATCGTTATATTAGTACATAGTTGTTTCTTACGCAATTGTTTGATCACCGTAACATGGAAACTCAATAATATACCGCAACACGAGCGTAAAATTTGTGATTAACAATCACGGTGTAATGATTAGCGGTTCCGTCACAAGTAAATAAGCAACGTTCGCATTTATAATAAATTGCGATTCACAAAATAACGATGATATTATAATAGTATATTAGCTGTTTAAACGGTTGAAAAGTAATAATATTTCAGTGTATAATAATGGACAAATGCCTTTCAACGCTTTAAATTGAGTTTTAAACAACGGTTTGCGAACAAAAATTATTTTTGCCCCATAAAAGCAAATTCCACGTTTTCGTAAATAAAAAAAAGGGCGGACATACTTAGCACGTGGGTGCAGCCACTATTCTAAGTGGGAAGTTGGGAAGGTAGGTTACAGACGGGAATTTAGTGTATATCTGTAAGCAACGATAAACCAATGGTTGCAAAAGAAAAATCGATTCTGAGCCGAGTTCAGTCGATAATGTTGCTTTATCAACAATAAAATAAACGGTATTTTTGTCATATTACGGTAAAATGATTACAATGTGGTTTCCATGACAGCAATGATAGTTTAAAAAAGATTTTAAAATAATAAAATCTTAATAATAACAAAAAATAAATAAAAACGGTTGCCAATGACAACCTTATTTTTAATCTTTCAATCTTTCTTAACCTAAAGACCGAGATTTTCCTCATTTATTATCCTCGAATAATAATGAGAATTTTAAAAAATGACCTGTTTAAAGTACCACCCAAAAAGAATTTCCTTTCAGAAAAGATTTTATGCTTAATAATCGGAGCTTTTTGGTAAAAAAAAGTGTTCGTTCCACTCAGAATCTAAAATGTACTTAATGCTCACTTTTAAAGAAAAAATCGTGTTAAAAAACAATGCACGATTACACGATTTACATTTTCGTTTTTTTTTTTTTTTTTTTACTTAAATATATCTTTCATTTAGGATATTATAGTATTGTTTTACTCTCGGCTTGTTCCGAGTGATTATATTATAATAACAACGGCGTCGCGTTTCCGAAATCTATAGGGAAACCCGTGTAAAGTCCGATCGTTGTCGGACATCGGGAATTTATTTAAATCATACACGTTTATTTTGATTTTTCAGACGCGGTGCCCAGGGCGGCGTATACCGTAGACGTAAGCATTTGGAATTGGAGGATAGTAAACGCCATGTTGTCGGTTGTCGGCGTCTCGCACTTTCGGTAAGATCGCCTTGTACTGTCGTTGCAGCATAACAAACACGATAAACCGAGTAAAAAATACTATTATTACGAAAATATTGTTAGTTCTTCGTGCGATTTGGCGAGTTTCGACGTTTGGTCTACAGGGAGACATAGTAATATATTGTATTGTTCGTAGCATTAGTATTCGTATTGTTAATTTAATATAATTCGATATTAGCCAATACGAAAAAACCGAATTAAAACAAAATACAAAATAAAAAAAAAAACAAACAAATTGAAATAATGAAACCGTTGTTATTGTAAACTTTTTCGTTTTTCTCAGTCACCGAGAAGACTACACGGAAAGTAGACGCCGAAATCTAAGAATCTTGAAGAATTTTATAAAAGTATCTTGTCAATTATTTACAATTTAAGATTCGTTATTTATTTGTAGGTTTCTGCGCAATACTGGGTTTCCAAACGCGTTCAATATGGCCAACGCGATTATATACGTATTTTGATGATTAAAATACATTTTTAGAAACGGGGAACTTCGCGAGCTCACAATTTTAAATGCGTAATACATCTGGACGGACGGGGGAGTGGAGGGGAACGGTACTAGGTACGAGGGAAGTATAGACTGCATAATACATTATAAAAAACGTAAAAAAAAATAAAAAAATATAGGGCGCCATGATGACTTTTCGCGTTTAGCACTCGGCGATTTAAAAATTCAATTCCGCGATTTGTACACAGATCGAGTGATTTATTTATTTTCCTGAATCAAACAAAACTAAATAGATTTTGAGAGAGGAAAAAAAAAACACTCGTACACTAAAAGCTATATAAGCCCTGTACAATAATTATTATTATAATCGGACAGCGCGATTATTTATAAATGGAATATATTTTAAATTATATACAGTAGTATACGATGCGTATTACGTGCGCTCTTTTTGAGCGGACGTAGTACCTATATTTTTTAGTATATTTTGGGAGATCTAATTTCGGGTTTCGCATTAAACAATATCGCCCACGTAACGAACCGGAAAAAAAATCATTTACAAATTGTTTTAATTAACTAAACGGACGTTTTTTTTTTTTTTTTTTTTTTTTGTCAATACAATATTGCGTATTGAAATATTTTTCAAATCGATCCGTAAATCCGGCGACTTCACAACACCATCGCATTTATGTAATTATGATGTTCTAAATATCAACGAAAATATTATACCTAGGTATAACTCTATAGTTATCAGAGTTTCAACTCTGACAAATCGATAAAAAAAAATGCAAGTTTTATAGATAACACGAAATAACACGGCGAAAATCGCCATATTATTATATTGTAATCGTGTTGTTTGTATTATGTTACAAAATATGATGTTTAGATTCTGAGCGTACCGAGGAATATTTATTGAGTTGACAAATTATGAAAAGTGTTTTTTTTTTTTCTCATGGTATAATATTTTCATCACTCTGACAAATTCAGACTCTACAGTAACACTACCAATATCGCCACATCCAATACCTTCTCACCTTTCCGACTACTACTAGTGCCACCAGTCTGTATACCCACGGTGCGAAATATGGCCCGCGTATTTTTTTCCCCGGTGCCTAACGTTGCGCTTTTATGTGCATGTTTTTTTTTCAACGGTCAAGGTGATAAGGTGTGTCAACTAATAATAACGCTACGGCTATACTGTTTTAATTAATTACGAGTAGGCAGGTATAATAACTACGTGAACGGGGTGCGTGTGATATCCGCAAATTATTTCGGTCGGTTCGGCAGCGTTTTATTTTTCGGTTTTTTCCCCCCTGCCGGGTGAATCAATACCTGTAAAAACATATTACACCGGATGAGAAGGTTTGGGAGGGGGGTGGAGATTAATTTCGGGCGGTGGCGTTCTGGCACGTGTACCTATATACCAGCTATAGTATAACACGTCGCGTGCGACGATAACATAAAGAAGCGGGATGACGTCGCGGTCGCTGTTTTAAAAACAAAAAAAAAAATAAATAAAAAAGAGAAAAAAAAACAAAAACCCTAGGCACGATAACGAGAGTCGATATAATTTCGATATTATACCGGGGCGAAATTCCGAATACGCTCCAGTGACAATAATAGTAACGCGTGCTGCCCCTCGAGTGGTGGGTGGGGGCGAAGAAACAGTGCGTGAGTGGTGGGGAATGGAGGGGACCGTGTTCGGGGATGTTGTTGTTGTCGAGCAAAGTCTCGATCGAGAAAACCAATTACGTAATGACCGAGGGGAGTTGATTCGGACGGCTGACATCATGCGAGACAGCAACGGAAATAAAAAAAAAAAAAAACCTCTGTACAATACGAACGATGGCGATGAGTGTATACGAGTTATGCTCATGTTTCCAAAGTTTTCCCGAGCGTTCCCGAAATTTGATCGTTCCTCCACGTAAGCGCGATAAAATACGCACTTGCGCTCGCGTTTTGGATTGTTCAGCTATTTTTCTCCCTGACCCCTATAAGCACTTAGAATAAGCGAAAGTCTATATAGTAACGGGCAGTGGCTGCTCCGGAATTTCCAATGGGAGGAGGTGTTACAAATAAGAATCGTGAATAAATCATAAAATCGTTTTCTCAACCCAACTTGGTAATATTTAAAAGCTAGGTCTTAAAGAAAAAAGTAAATTTCTAGTTTGGACTTCAAACTTTTCTTCGTAACTTGGCTGCAATATATGCATTTCGACATTAGATTAGGTACTCTTGATTTTTTGTATATTTAAGTCATTGGGAGGGGATATAACTCCTAGCCTACCTCTACGCATGCCACTGGTAACGGAGGGCACATTGTTTGCGGGACCCACATTATACTTTGGCAGCCAGCTGTTTTTTTTTTTTTTTAAATGTGTTTTAGAACCGCACGAAATGTTATAATCACGCGATTACAACATTTTGCCGTCGCCGATAAAATAAAACGCAATCGAACCACTGGCGTCTCTGCCCGGGGTCCGGCGGCGGTCTGAGACGTGACACTGAGACGCTGACGATTGTTATGACGGTTAATTGTAACCCCGATCGATCAATAAACTGCCGTGTCAGCAAGATGCAAACGGCCCTCGTCGAAATTGACGCCTCTGGGAGTAAACAGTGGTACAACCGGTTATATTATAATGTTAACAAATATTATATTTGAGCAATCAAATGTAAAGCGAGAATTCGAATACGAACAAGCGAATCAACCGGTTGATTTTTTCAGTTCCGTAAAACAAACAGGATATAATTGTATGTACACATAGAATTCTTAACACCCCCAGGTTTCAAATTATCACCCTCAGTTTCCTTAATTTTTTCACTCTTTTATCGATCATTTGTAAATTATTATGGTTTATTGGTTTGGATAAAATATTAATTGTTTTTTCCATTACAAATAAATCATAGATTCACGAATTTATATTGCAACAATTTGCAGTATCAAATAGAAAATTGAATCTTGTATAACATTAATTAGTAATTATAAATTGTAATATTTTTTTTTAATATTTCGAATATATAATAAATTATGTAAAGGTAAACGATCGATTATTGTATACGAGACTATACAGTTTAATTGCTTTTGCTTAATATTAATAAACAGAATAGCGATTATATTAACATTTATCGAACATTATTTTAATATAGTGTATTGTAGTATTAGGAGTGTGTGAGGGGCAAAGCCCTCCCATGGATATATGTACCCTAAATTATTCTAGCACACCCTAAATTCACACCTAATGTGCTCCTATGGACATAATAATAACCCTGCGAAGGGAAAAATCGGTTCGATTCAAACGTTCGCGTACCTATTGAAAAACTGAAATGACGCCCCAGTAACGATTTTATAATTCGGTCATTGCGACTCGCAATTGGTATACGGAAAACAATATTTCGAGAGGGAACAGGGTCGGGAACGGGTCGAGAACGGTTTGGGAACTAGGAGACATGTACAAAGCAATTTTGTAATAGCGTTTTAATCGCCGCAGGAAGGTATTAGACTCGAAAATAACGTTGACATTTTTTCGTTTGGTTTCTGGGGTATTACGCGATACGTATATAATTTATTTCATGCACCTGTGCGATTATATTACGCGTGTAAATTATGCATTAAAAATCTCGAAATAATAAAAAAAAAGGGGAAAAACCTCGAAAAAAAAAAAACCCCGTTTTCATCGCAAAATACACATACCTCTGGCGTATACGCGTATACGGAATCACCGTGAATCTTTCCTGGGATGCGAAACAAACGTGCTATCGCACGCCCGCCTTATCTACCGCCCCTTCTCCTACGCGCCTCCCCGCCCGGAACGGAGACGAATTTCCTCCGGACGGCGAAAACCGCCGGACCGGAAAAACGGGTTATAACTCACATTGCGATCGGGGCAGGCGGGCGGTTATGATTTCTTATCTCCGCGACGTGACTCCCCGTCACCGCCCCTACTGGTGACGGGTGGACGGCTGTAGAAGAAGGGGAACATTAAACGCCGGCGTTGGCCAAAACGCCTCCGCGATAACGCCCGCCCCCCTTCTCACGACGAGGAGTGAACTTTGCCCATCAATAATTACGGCCGTAATCAATCTTGCGCGGAGAGAGTGTAAGAGTGTTCCGTCGTCGTCACCGTCGTACATTATAATATTATTATTATTATTATTATTATTATAAAGACCCGCGGCCTAATCTCGCCGTCAATTCCAAATTAATTTCGCAAACGCCCCTTATTACCTCCGATCTCTTCCTCCCCCTCTTCCCGTCGCCCCTCTTCGCAGCGGCATGGCATGATACGCATGATAATATGTAATAAATTATACACGTATACGGAGTTATTTAGGAACGAAATTCAACGGTATTATAATAATGTATTCGTGCAAAACTTGAGAAAAAAATTAATAAACCACGAAAAATGCGTAAAAAACAATAGTAAACCGCCGTATCTGACTGTCCGAAAAATTACCAATAAAATTTACTAAAACGTGGAAAAATATACCACATATATGTGTGGTATACATAGATACGTTACGATTAGATCACCGAGTTTTAGTTTACCGGTATACAACTATTA